AAGAAATTTACAATTTATTTGATAATAATTATAGAAACAAACATTTGTTTAGTATTGAGATAACTGGGAGTATAGTTCAATAAAAAACCGAGTTTTCGGAGGCATGTTATAGAATATATAAGTAAAGCCAAAGCAGTGGCAAGGTATATACAAGGCCTAGCCAAGGTTATGCAAAACTCCCTGGTATAATCGATATACAAGATAGTAATAATATATATATTATCCTCACTTTTGTATAAAATAAAGGTCTGATATAAAGGAAGATTCAGGGTTGTATAAAAACTCAAACTTGGACAAATACAGTTTAATACCCGCCTAGACTGATATATAATACAAATTGAGAAAGTCTTGACAATAGTAATACAAGAAGTTATATTAATCTGAAGAATTATGTTAATAGTAGTTCTTTATTGCAAAGCAGAACTCCTCTCAGTTATAACAATCTTCGAAGAAGCTAAACTAAGGTTTGTCTTATACCTGCAAAGTATAGACAAAAACTATTTGTTTACAAAAAGAATTGAATTCTTTATAATCATCAAAGAACGAGGTATAGATATAAGACAAAAAGTAAAGACCAAAATCCAATAATTCGGTTTACTTATCCCTCCAATCCCAAGGCCTATATTCGAACTATTAAGGTATACACCAGACTACTGAATAAATCTAATAGAAAGAATTGACAAGAAAACAACAACAAAGGTTTTCGGAACCTGATAGAATAATCTGCCGGAAACAGACATCACTATCTTTTCAAATAAATTAGAAAACTATATATAAAGAAAATATATAATAAACTATGGATATATAATATATCTAAACAAAAACCAAATACTGGCAGATTCCAGCTTTATTAATATCTAATCCTATATCTTCGATATAAAGATTATTGGAATATAAAAAGGTCTAGAATATATCCTCAAGAACACTAGATATATTAACCAGAAAATCTGGATATGCATTGACAGTGTCTCAGTTATTTGATATATATAGGCCAATGCCCCTATATTATTATAATAGGTTTTCAACAACTGTTACAAAACTATAAAGGAAAATGATATCCAGATCAAGTAATTACCGAAACACGAAAATATCGAAGGAAACAAGGCAGTTAATCACCTCGTAGACTTTGGTATTAAGAAAGCCTAGTGGGATATTGGACCAGTGTCATAGCCCATCTATAATGGAATACAATCAATCGTATATAATCTCAAGGAAACTGCCTATCAGAAATAGTAAACTTTCTGCAAACCTGCTCTCTCAGAGTGGTATAAACAGTGGGATCTGATTTATAAGATTAAATCACTGTCAGAACTTCTATTTCTGTAAGTAGTTTTATACAAACTAATAACTATCCGAACCTCATATAGAAACTTCGGATGGTATTACAAAAAGTATAAATATACAAGGGATACGGAATACTTCTGCGAAAGACCCAAAACCCCTAACCATCTGATATACTACTGAAAGGCAAAAAGCACCTTCAATCAATAGCCAAACAAGCCCCCTACTCTATTATCAACAAAGGCAAAAGGAATACAATATTTGTGTTAAATCCTAAACAATCCTACAGATTTCACCAAACTATTAAAGTTAACGAAGTTCTACAAAAATATATGCCCAAGGTAAAAGACTACAAGCTTGCATTTTATGAACAAAAAGTCTATAAACTCTCGACAAGTATATACCTATTACTAGGATCAATTTGCAATGTACAATATAAACAAAGCTATAACTCTCTCTACAGAGTATATATAGAAAAACTATAACAATTATCAGAACCTAAAAACTCTGATAAACACCAACAAAGTATACGAAAGTACACCCTAGAAAGCTTCTAGGAGTATATCAAATATTCTAATTGCCATACCTGAAAAGCAGCTCACTGAACCGCTGAAGTGCATATAACAGCAAGCCCACAATACAGACTTAACCATCTACACCAAGCAAAACAGTAGAACCATCTCAACCAGTAAAAAAGGAAATATACAAATTGGAAGGTAACACACGATTATCAGGAATGGCTATAAGGCTTTCATTTTTCTTTCTAAGGCATCCTTATTTCATGTATCGTAAGACTATAGCTTAGAACATTAGCATACCCCTAGGGAGGTTCTGAGGGCAGCCATAAGCTGCCCTCCTGATGTAAATTAATACTACCTACCTACCTATCTACCAAGGAATCCGTGCATCTTCGAACAGAAAACTCATGTCCCTCAAGTGAGAAGATGAAAGCAATTCGGTTGATCGTAAGGAGAGAATTGAAGTATCGTGTGGGATATATATATCACTCTGGGGTGATTGATGCTGATTTTACTTGGGTCAAAAGAAAGATACAGTCATGCGGTCCTACCGTGGCGTTCATTCCAGCCCTAAGCAGTCGAATACCCTTTGCTGCAAATACACAGCTTCTTCGGGGAATACTTATAAATTACTCTACATGATCTTCTTATACAGCAATGTTGAGATATGAAGTAGCACCTCAGATCTAAGTTCTGGAAATGCTAATGCGTTAGCAAATGTTAATGTTATGCTTGAAAGGTCTAACACAAGTATCTCTCTCAAATATCTTTCAGTCATTTCTCACCTTTGAATTTTTCTTTTGGTTAGGTTTTGATGATTTATATTTTGATTTCACGACTTGATGTCTATTTGAAATGTGATCATCAACTCAATCACGAAGTTTAATATTGCTGGTCACAAGATGAGATGGGAGGTACGGAGCAAATGGCAGCGAGATGATTGGAGACAGAATGGATCATTTTTGCTACCTCAAAAAGAGGCTATCTCCTCAGTACAGCAAAGATAGAAAGTGACTGACCAAACATCCAACGCTCAACGCCAACCTCCACCGAACGACTTAGAGAAACTATGGAGAGAGATATGCAGGATATTCAAGACCCATATCATACAAAATGACGATACTAGGCAGGTACATTTTCCTCTCTGAAAGTCACCCTACAAGGAAACCCATCTGCCGGATGAGCAGCCCCTCCATCAACCTGATATGCTCTCTCTCCATCCACTTCCTTCACTCCCTTCTTATCCCCGAGTTTCTCATCCCACTCCACATACGCATCCTGTACATCCAACTCCCTCACCACTATCGCCAGTATAATCTTCAACTCCAACATCACCAAAGTATGTCCAATACAACTTCTTGGTCCCTGCTCAAACGGTCTCCACGCCCCATTTACTGGTACATCACAATATAATTCATCTCCTGGTTGCGCAAGCCATCTTTCGGGTAAGAATTCTTTGGGACGAGGCCAGTATTTCGGATCATGTTGAATAGCCAAATGAAGCATATACACCATGCAGTTTTCCGTCGGATATCTATTTCCCTCTTCATCAACCAAATCTACATCTTTCATCCCCTGTCTAATACTTGACGCGGGTGGGAAGAGACGAAGAGTTTCTTTGATCACAGCTGTTGTGTATGGTAATTGTTTTAGGAGAGTTGAATCTGTTTTGATGAGTTCTGAGATAGCCTTGATATCGGTTCCGAATACTGAATCGTGTTCTTGAATGAGTTTGTCAAGAGCAGAGGGATTTTTGGAGAGGAGATAGTAGCACCAGGATATGGCACTACCAGTTGAATCATGGCCGGCGAAGAGGAGGAGTCGAATATTGCGCGTGGCTATGGTGCGAAACTTTTGGTCGAGACTGGTTGCATTGCGCCGAGAAGAATCGCCCATGTAATCTTCGATGACCAAATCAATAATTGATTGGAAGGTTTCTGATTTCTCGTCCGAATGACCATCTGCTTTGGAACCGGAATGCTTGGATAACTTGTAAATCTCAAAGCGCTTATCAAGCTCTTCATTGATATACGCATCCATTTTTCGGCCGTTGTGCCACTCTTTAATGGGACGTACAAAATTGAACCATTGCCCAATATTTACTTCTTGATTTGCAAGTTTGCTTTTGATTTGGTTCAACATAGCGTCCGCAAGAGGATTGTATCCTTTTTGTGCGTTTAGCTTTGCGTTCCTAGATTCTGTTAGTAACTCCTGGCTCAAAAGTTCGTGTCGCTTCGCCTATTTTGTCCCCCTCCTATTACATGCATCCCACCTTTTTATGCGATGTAGGGTATAAGCCGAGAGAAATTAACTTACAAAGCAGTATTCTCAATCAAGTCCATCATAAATCTCAGATTGATCCCATCCAACTGAACAATATCTCCATTTCTCGCTTTCTCTCTCAATCCCGACGCATAGATTTCCACCTCATCCACTATTCCTGGCACCAACTTCATCAAATACTTGTAACTGAATCCCCGAGCGAACAAATCTCTCAGTTCCTTCCACTCGTGGTATTCCGCATCAAACATACTGATTCCACCCGTGATGCTCCAAAACCACGTTCTTAAAGCGTCAGGCTTACGACATGCTATTGGAGAAGTTCGTACAGCTTGATTTGCGAGAAATGGAGAAGTGATGACGAGAAAGGGGGCAGCGAATGGGTAGAGGTCAAGATAGAATGCGCCATTGCGGGAATATCGGCGGGCAAGGGCAGCGAAGAAGTATACTTTGAGGGCATCTGTCGGGAAACCTTTCATAGCTTTGGAAAGCTCGATGAGATGACCAGCGAGAAGATGGTGGGGTGGCATTGGCTAGGAGAAAATGGGGTCAGTGGAGCTGATCGCGTTTGGAAAGGAAGAGACCTACTAAGCCCTGAGCTGAAAGCTTGGTAAAGAAAGTTCGGGCAGTATACAACTTAGTAAGAAGCCATAGTATGACTGTAAGGGAGGACAACAAAATAGTAGTCCATAGGAAGTTCATCATGTGTTCTCTATCGCGATGTTGCTATTAACTAGGGAATTTCTGAAGTAAATATTCGGAATGCTTTGAAGAATCGATCAAAATGTGTAATAAAAGAAGTTGATGGATTGATTTGAAAGTAAGGTTACTAGGGTTGCGTTGCAAGTGCTGATCATGTAGATAATGTACATAGGATGTAATTTTATAAAGCGCCGAAGAAGTTTTTACGTTGAAATAGTCTCGTAGATACGGTTCATGGGATATGGTTTATGGGATACGGTCCATGAGACTTGGGTACGGTCACAGTCTCGACTTTGTGAACGAGAATGAGGCTATGATACTAAAGGACCGTATTGATTTCGAATCAAGGAAATTGGTTTGGAATGTCAACCCTCTCTGAGCCTTTCTGATCACGATGAAAGGTAATCATGTCGTCGCCAGAGTACTTCAAAATTTGCGGAGCTGGCACGTACTCTCCCCTGCTCAGACACCTCAGGCCCGTACTTTGTTAGATACCGGGATTGTTATTCAGTGGGTCAGCCCAAAAGACATGTAAATTTGGTATCTCCTATTTGATGATATTTAACCTTCTCCAATTTCATATCTCGCTATTCCTCTCAAGTGGAAGCTTTCCCTCTTGAAGCTCATCTAATAAGAACCAAAAATTTCAAGCATGTAAACATGATCCCAAGGAACGAGTCACTATTTAAACCTTATAGGATGGGCTTAAACCATAACATCCTGATTTCTCCCTCTGGAATTTCATATTACTGTAAAGGGTATGATGAAAGTCTTCCACATTACAAATGATATGGAAGCATTTTCACTCCTAGTTCATCTCATAGATGGTATTTGCCATTTAATAACGTTAGTTGAGGTGGACGGGTCGGCAAACCAAACATTCCGCAAAGAGAAAAACCAGGGTAGTTGGTGGTACGATTACCCCATGCACTCCACATGCTCTGGAGGTGTCGTTAAAGATTTACAGAAGACTAACGGCAGTGTAGGCAGGTACACAAATAAGCTTAATCGAGATTAACATCAAGTCTTCCTTCTCAATCATGGTGGACGGCGAGTATAGTGCAAGTGCATTGGCATTGGCATTGACATTTCTTTGCCAAGAGAAGATAGAATTTTCTAGCGCTATGGAATATTCCTCTAGAGCGTCTGACGGATTCTTGAATCTTGAAGGAGACTACTTCGTACATCGTCGGCAATACTAGTACCGGTAGTAGCCCGCACAGAGTACAGTGGTAGGATTTTGTCACGGTAGACAGTCCCGTTTCGTCAATTCTCCCCGTTCAAAGTTCATTCTCAACAATGTCAAAAGCCACAGCAGCTTTTTACTGAATCATCGGCTATTTGATACTGGGATATACTAGCCCAAGTAGCTCCAAAGCCTCTTGTAGTGGTCATAACCCATCTCACATCCTCATGAACGTTGAGAATAGAGAATCATCGTTCTTTTGACGGAAAAGAAGTCTTTTCCAGAAGGCGTGAGGATAATTCCAAATGTGGCCAATGCAGGTGTGGCGACAACAGATCTACATTGGCGCCGTCACACTACTTGGCTTCGGTGGACTGGTCATTATTGCGAAGAAAACTATCATGGATAGATCTGTAGAGGCTCTGGGGCTTCCTTTTCAGAGATATAAAGTTGAGGTTGAAGATTCGAAGATATTTTAAACCTCATCTACATTTGCTTCGGATTCTTATTATCTAGTTCATTTATCCTTCAGAACCCTCACAACCATTCGCAATGCATGTCACCAAAGGTCTTATCCTGGCTGCTGCCCCATTGGCACTCGCTATCCCTACTCCTTCTTTGTTTGGTGACATTCTTGCTGTTGAAGCCGGTATCGCCAAAATCGTTACCACCGTTGTAAGCAATGTTGTATCCGATCTAGAAACTGCTGTATCTAAACTCGGAGCTACTCTCTAGAAGAATGCTGCAAGTCACGGTTCTGTCTGGAATTATGGTAGCATCTCTGTTCCTAATGTTGCGCTTTCTATCGAGCGATATGCTCACAGCATCGCCTGGTCTAAGTCTACCGGTTATATCAACTGGAAAACTTACAAAGCAAATGGTGTCAATTTTGGTGTTTGGTTAGAGCAGTAATACCACCTCACCTACTCTTATTGGCCTGCATAGAAACTAACATTTTTCAAGAGAACAAAACTACGACCCTGACTGGTGGAATTCTTACGCACCAGATGCGATTGATGAATGGGGTTTCTGCGAAACTTTGGGTTCCAAGTGTGGCCCAGTCCTTGAGGCTCGTTACTCTTCATGGATTACCACCGCAGATATCGACAAGCTCGCTGCTCAAAACATCAACACCTTGCGTATCCCCACCACCTACGCAGCTTGGATACAATTTCCTGGATCAAAATTGTACCACGGTAACCAACAAACCTACCTCCGCAACATTGCTGTCTATGCTATTAAGAAATATGGCATGCATGTCATTATCGGTCTCCACTCTCTTCCCGGAGGAGTTAACTCCTTAAGTATCGGCGAGGCTTTCGGACACGGCGGGTGGTTCCAAAACACCACAAACTTGGATTATTCCTTCCGTGCCATTGATGCCATGCTCACTTTCATTCAAAGCTCCGGTCAACCCCAAGGTTTTACCATCGCTCCAATCAATGAAGCTTCTGATAACTTCGCTGGATTTGCCACTGCTGCTGGCTTAACCACCAACGGTACCAACTGGATCAACACATATATCAACGGTGTTTTGTCTCGTATCGCCAAGGTTAACAAGAAGATTCCCGTCATGTTGCAAGATTGTTTCTTGGGTGAACAATATTGGTCGCCTTTCTACGCAACTGGCACTAGCCTCGTGATCGATTCGCATATATACTTCTTCGCCGCTGCTGGTATCTATTCGCAATATGTTTCCCCAGCTATATGCGGCGAAGCAAATTATGCTGCAGGCGATGGAAAGTTCCCCGTGTTCATCGGTGAATGGTCTTTACAAACTCTTTATAACAATACCCTTACTGAACGTAAGACCATCCACGATACTCAAGTTTACGCTTATCAGAAGTATGCTGCGGGTAGTGCATTCTGGAATATCAAAATGATCAACAACACTGCTCCTGTTGATGGCGAGGGTATCACTTCGGATTATTGGTCATGGGAGCTATTGGTTGATAATGGTGTTATCACTCCAACAATTACCGGATCCTATTGTTAGATGGGATCTTTTAGATGATTGATAAAAATAAGTAGCCATGTCACATTTGTATATAAATTGAGAAGGAGAGAAGTTTGATAGAACGAATGAATTGTACATACATATTTCCGTATTGTGAATCGTGGTTGTGATAATTTTGAGCTGGTCATTCGGTTACCTTCCTGGGTGACCAGGCCAATCAACCCCCCTTCATCACCTCGGGTAATTTCCGACACTCTCAAGCAGTAAGAGTATCCACTGTGCGTTCTTTATGATGGTTATCGCATTTACCAAGGAATTGCTGAAGCATCTCGATTCTGGAAAGATTCGTCGAGTTTTTTGTAAGGTAGAAATGGTATTCTGACATTATTCGTTGTATTTTGGTGTCCAAATAGATGTAAAGATTCGTTTTGTTTTGGAGAATACCGAACTCAATGAAATCATAAATCATGAGCCTAATATTCATAATACCCTAACTGTACGATAAACAGGTTCGACCGTCAGAGTTCACTACTAGGTAGAGGTCCAGAAATGGGAGGCTGTATAAGATATGAACTTTGCAACATGGTCTAGTCACAACGCCTCGAACCTTATATTACTCATAGACTGCATTTCGTGCAGTTCATATACAATGTATAGTCAATACACCGACCTGAATGTTGAAATCTATCCAAATAGTTTCATCGTTATACGTTAAACTCCTGTTCGCCGCCAGATCGCGATATAGAAGACAACTTTTTGCTTGATCTAGTGTCGACTTTGACAATGGAAAAGGTTGAACTCATCGGGTTTTATGGGTGGCGATTTGATGGTAAGCTTTTTGCATCAAGTGCAAGAATGTGAGTGAGGTAACTCCTCATGAAAGCTAGCAGTTGTCATTGGTCGAGAAAGATTCTCATACAAGCGCGCTGTTGAAGGTAATACAATTATCGATGTATCATTTACAATGATATCAGTATTTGCCTCCATTTCCAGAATGTACTCGATGACTATATCACAATGACGGTGATCTAATGGCCGCTGTGCAAGATGGGGCAAATGCTGGTAAAACGGAACAAGTGAGATGAAACAAATACATAAGTTGGTAACTTATGTTGTCATTCTGACTGACGAGATACATGAACTGGGCATTTATTGGCCGTGAGGTTAGGGTGACTCAATCAAGGTGTAAGACTGCAGCTTGCGTATATTTCATGAGCTTTCACCACTTTATAGTCGCATTAGAGACTCATAGCAAATTACCCTGAGGTATCATATTACTGGATTGTATCGCTGCGTTTCCCATCTAGGCTAATAGCCCCCTTAAAATGTCCATCCATATCGTACAAGTAATGTATGTATCCACGCCTTAACCCCAAGTTCCACCTCCACCTCCCCTACCCTGCCTCTTTTGCGCACTCAATCTCCAATCATCTTCCGCCGCAAACTTATTATAAAGAGGTTGTATCCTCTCCGCCTTCTTTCTCTTTGACAACTTTCCTACGTCCGCCACCTTGAAGAAACTTGGCGCTGCGCTCACCAACCACTTGGGATCAATACTTGTGGTACAATGCATGTATTCTTTCGACGTCATTACTAGAGTGTGATAAATGACCCATTCGGCTTGCTTGCCGAAAAGAGCGGACGAAGGATGTAGGTATACAGGCGTGCTTTCTATTAAAGTTTTATATCCTTCTTGAGGATCCTTTCGAGCAGAGTTCCGGAAGAATCCAGAACAAAGTGCTTGTCGGACTTTGTCCGTGTTGCGACCACAGGATACGATAGGATGTTTGTATCGTTCCATGATCTTCAACAATTGATCGCGTACATCTTTTGCGCGCTTCATACTTCGTGCTTGAATAAAGTTTTCGAAACACCATGGACTTGCGAATTTATTTTGCTTCCAGCTGTTATAGACATTCAGAAGGGTAAGATGATCGCCGTGAGAATCATGAAATTTGGCTTTCTTCTGGTCGGCCTGGGCTTGCTTTTCCTTGGGCCGGTAAAAGATAGTTGGGATAGAGATCATAGCGACAATACTAAGGAGTTCATCGGAGCAGCCGAGGTCAACAGCTGCAATGAGAACTTTCGAGAGAGATGGCTCCATTGGGAAATCAGCCATCTTACGACCCAGTCGAGTAAGAAGTCCTTCGTCGTCTAACGCCGAAAGGGCATACAATTCTTCCAAGGCTGTCAACATAGTATTTGTTGGAGGTGGGTCCATGAAGTCGAAATGAAGTAAGTCATTGATGCCCATAGCCTTCAACATCAAAATAGTCGTAGATAAGTTCTGTCTTTGAATTTCTGGTATACTAGTCGGCAACATCTCGGACTGGAAAGCGGACTCCGTATAAAGACGGAAACATTTTCCAGGACCAGTTCTTCCAGCACGTCCAGCACGTTGTTTGGCCTGCGCTTGAGAAATTGGTGTCACTATCAATGAATCCATACCAAGTTTTGGGTCGTAAGCATTCTGCTTGACAAATCCTGGATCAATAACGTAGTAGATATGATCGATGGTAATCGAGGTCTCAGCGATATTGGTGGCAATTACCACCTTTCGAGCTCCTGGGGGTGCGGGATCAAAGATTTTACTCTGCAATTCAGTGGGCAGTGAAGCATACACGGGAAGGATGATTAGTTCAGGAACGCTGGGACCAAGTGCTTTCATACGCTCGAAGAGAATTTCGCAAGATGTGTCGATTTCCTCACTACCAGTTAAGAAGAGAAGGATATCTCCCGGAGGTTCTGTTAAATGAATCTGCATGACCGTAACCAGAGCTGCATCAAGGTAGTCAGATTCGGGCTCTCTTGAGTACATAACCTCCACAGGGAAAGTTCGACCAGGGATAGAGAAAATAGGGCATTCATTAAAGTAGACCGAAAACTTGTCGGCATCAAGAGTTGCAGATGTGATAATAATCTTCAAATCTGGCCGACGTTTGATCGTTTTCTTCAGTAATGCGAAAAGAACATCCGTAGAAATGGTGCGTTCGTGAGCCTCATCCAACATAATAACCGAATATCGCTTCAAATCTGGATCCATCAAAACTTCTCTCTGCAACATTCCGTCTGTCATGTACTTGATCTTCGTGGCTGGAGTAGTACAATCTTCGAATCGAATAGTGTATCCTACCTCTTGACCAAGCTCACATCCAACTTCTTCTGCAACACGCTTTGCAACCGACATAGCAGCAACACGACGAGGTTGGGTACATCCAATTATGCCATCGTTAGCAAAGCCCGCCTCCGCCAAGTACTGTGTCAATTGTGTCGTCTTTCCTGAACCAGTGTCACCGACCACGATCAATAGTTGATTTTCATGAACAGCCTTGATTAACTCGGATCGGAATCGGTATACTGGTAGTGACTCTCTCTGATCTTTGATGGACATATCTGTGCGGCGACCCAGAGGCTCATTTTTATTCTGAGTGGCCCTCTTCCAATCAGGTACATCTTCACTAGGTGCCTGTTGTTTCACAGTTCTGAGATCACTAGCAAACTTTCTCTGATCTGGGTTTACCATCGGGTCATTCCATTGTGCAGAGAGGTCGACCTTCGCTCCATCCTCGGTAGCTTGGTCTTGAGCCTCCTGTTGTTTCAACTCTCTTCGATCTTTGGCTAGAGTCGTACCTGACATAGCAGCGCGATTGAGTGAACCATCAGGGGCCTTCACGACTCTGATTGGGGATAATTCTAACGACTGCTTTGTTTGTCCAGTCAAGAAGGGGGGCTCTTCTTCTCGAATCTCAATATCAACATCTTCTTCAAGCTCCATTTCTCCCTCGCCGTTCAATGTGGCATTGTAATCCTCATTGAGATCTGGGTAATCCGATGCTTTCACCACCCCAGATGCGATCAGTTGTCGGATCTCCCATCTTTCAGGAGATGTCATTCTCTTCTTGGTCTTCCTCGAATTTCGTGACATTTCTCCTTCGAAAACTGGTACAGGCTCATCAATTAAACCATACTCGTTCTTGACACCAAGAGGAACACCGTTGACTCCAGATTGTATCTTATCTTCAGGAGACAAATCCTCTCCAGTTTCTTGATCAACATCCTTCATCGAAAGTCCGATTCTGTTTGACTCGACTTTAATCACTTTGACTTTCACAGGTTGATTCCGCGAAACCAAATCTGACGGATGATTTACTCGTTGCCCTTCTACTAATGCCGAAACATGCACCAGTCCGTCAACCTTTCCTTTCACACCGTGTATGTTAACGAATGCTCCGAAATCCTTCACACCCGTAACGTGGCCTTCATAAACTTTGTATAGAACAACTTCATCATCAATCTCGGGAGTGAGCGGTCGTTTGTGATAATCGTCGTCTTCTCTTTTCCTCCGGCTACTTTTGTGACTCTTTCGCGTCCTCCCAAATTCGTCCTCTTCGTCATGTTCGTGTTTTCGCCGCCTCCTCGGTTCTTCTCTGGATTGTGATATAGACCTGTGCCTATCTTTACGACTTCGTCCTCTGTCATAATCCTGATCTGGACTCCTGCTTCGTTTTCTGCTTATTCTCCCAGCCTTCTCTGGTTGCGCCTTTGGTGCCAGACCTTCTAACAACGCAAGGGTATCATCGATCGCATCAGTTCCGTTTACCGCATGAACATTTGATGTTTCATCATCGTCCTGCCATGCCGGTTCCTTATCAGGCAATGCCAGACCTTTAAAAACCTTCGTCTTCTCTTCGACTTTGCGATTCTCATTTTCAGCTGGCACAGCATTTCTACCCTTGCCACCTTTGAATTTTGGATGCATAGTCAGTACCAGGCGGTCCACACTCTCTATCAAACTTTGGGGAAAGTCTGCTCCCATCGCCTCAAGCTTTTTCTGGAATTCTTCGAGGGAACTACATTCTGAGTGCTGCGCAATAACAAATTCGGCGAGAGTTTTGTCGCTGATGCCGAGATGATTCTGCAATTCAGAAGCCACTCTCTGGACCAAAGAAAGTATTTCGAGGGACTCAAGATCGTCCATTTCGAAGATGGCAAGGTATTGCTGCTTGTCAATAATCTTTTGGGATTCAGTAATCAATAAGAGGACGAGGCGCGCCTATCCTGTAATCATCTCGCTTATAAAATAAGCGCCAAGCGCATGTTTTATTTCAAACTTCACTTCCGGGCACTTAATCAACTCCCAGAATGATATCTTCCAGATATTTCTGTGGCTACCCTTCGCCAAAAGTATTTCACGGGAACCATATCATTAAAAAGTTTCTGAATCATATTTCAATGAGCAATAAATGGACATGCCAAAGAGTAATGCTTCCAAATTGTGGCTCCTTATCTACATTCTATCTTTGTAAGGTTCAATCTCTACCTCATTGCTAGAAAGTTTTGGAAAGAGAAGTCTACGAGGGAGCACAAAGAGCCATTAATTAAAGCAGTGAAAGCCCAAGACTACAGGTAGTCCTCGTCCAGTCGGACTCTGTGAGCTCTATCTAGATATATCGGGGGTAATCAGATATCATGACTGGTGTTTTGAACAAATCCCAAGTTCATAATGAGAACTTCAAAGATAGATTGTATCATGCCATAGTTGGTATGTGTCTTTATATTGTTTGATCTCTCTGTTGATCTCTCAACTTGGTAGAAAGTCTATACCCATTCATACAGTCAATGTGCAAAAGACTGTCCAACCTTTGCAATGCACTCTTGTTATAATTAAGTGTGGACAATAAATAGACAAAGCTACAAGTCTTGGTACAGATCGTAAATATTTAGGCTATTCTCACATCGATGAGGTCTTGATAGAGGGTGATGATAAATTTTAGACTCATCAACTACTCAATTGCTCTGTCCATCCTTTCTAGCCATGCAATTTTTGGCAGAACTTTTAATCAGTTTGAGCGCTTTCTTGCCCTCGAAACTGAGATCTGCGAGCGAAGTTACATTCTTTTCATAGAACCTCGAATCCGCTAATGCTTCCGCCCCGAGTGTGCCTTTGAACCACTTCCGAGGATGCTGTCTCCATCTTTAACATCATCGCGCCCGCTTCAATTATAAATTCACCACAAAGCTACTGTGCGTCACTAGTTCTCTCATTACTTTTCGCCCATGAGGAGATTCACAATGAGCTACCACCACTCTTCCACGGCAAGCTCGCAGCACTCATCGCCCTCAAAAGTCACCCTCAGACCCTTTTCACACCCCTACACACAACTCAAGCTGTACGCTTATTCTCCGCATTCCAGTAATTCGTCGCAAAGTTGACTATCGAGCTACCAATCGATAAAGTTTTGCCGCGTGGGGCAGACTGATAATCCGACTGGTCCGTCGAACCTCTCGCTAAGGAGGTACATCGCTTTAGCCTCCTACTTTGGGTTTTGCAAGGCCCTCGGTCAACTCACTGTCGTCATTAAGGTCAAGCATTTTTCGCACACGTGGTTTGAGGCTAGTGATAAAAGACAATTCGAGTTTAAGTAGTTGCACCGATTTTGGGAGTTGGCTTTGACAATGACAAGACACCGTGATGCACCTTTCCCGTATGAAGTTGTGGTGGAAGAAGGAGTATCAAAATATGTGGGTTAAGGGATGGAATGCGGGGTTGAAGAGGGAAATAGATGTTCATGAGTTCTCCAGAGATGCCGAGTCTGGGGCCAATTGTATACTATGATCTCAAAATCGAAAGTATCTTACTATGTTTTTTGTTTTCTGTTTCCTGTGAACGCAGGGATCGTATCATGAATTTTATGAGTAGCTAGTGAGTTATTAGTCAATGAATAATGAGAATATACAACCAAAGTCTTCAGTAAGGATGTTTCGAATATGCAGAACAACCTAAGACAATATAAGCATTCAATGCTACAAATCCAAAGAAGGTTTCTGCGATGTATAGTTTTAAAGTCTGGGATGTTTAAGATTCAAGTTTAAGGATTAGATGGCCATCTTTACGAGCGATCAGAATCCTTTTGAGCCCAGAAGGCCAAAGGAAAACGATTCACTACTCGTTCCAGCTGACAAAGAAGCCCTCTCCAAGACCGGACAAGATGACTTCAATGGTACAAAGGGACCTGAAGTAACACAATTTCGATTTCAATAGCACCGGAGGAGATGGGCTCTAATACTCTAACATATTTTCAGAAATGTACGTTTGTTATCTGAAGTATCTGACTGTAACATTATTTTTTTACAACTGCAAGTTGAATACTAGAGCCATATCCTGAAGTCTGAGGCAGGGGGGTCTTGCTATTTCTCAATTTCATTGAATCTTGCTGTACCGATTTGAAATATTAAACGGCAGTGCCCTCGTTCTGTGGAAAGACATGCAACGCTATGATGAGAACACATCTTCTGGGCTAGTGATCAAGCTGAGACCATGCACAGCTGATGATTGCGCAGTACTACATAGACCACTAACTATTACATGGTAATAGCTATAAATAATTGCCCATTCATACCATACCAGAAAGGAGTTGAAGTCCCTGGGTGAAGTTGAGATGTAAACCCTATAAACTTTTGGATATCAGGGAATAATACGTCGGCAGAATGTTATATGATAGCAATAATCGCATCAGAAAAGAAGTTTTCAGATTACTCGAGTTGTTGAGCAGGTCTGACAGATATCAGATTGAACCCTTCGATATATCTGGACTCATTGGAGGGCATGGAAAAGAGTAGGTATTGTGCGGTCACAGTGAGATATCATCGACCTCATTATGGTCCAAGGAATAGATTCAGCAGATAGACAGACAATATGGTTCCGAACTCGATGCATTGTCTTCTTCCTGAACAATAAATGAAGTATTTGTCGTCAAATGCATGGTTGAGAAATAAAGCTCGAGAAATCCAGCGGATGCACCTTCCAGGCTTCAGTGTCTTACCATATTTTCGGACACGCAGGAAGGAACGCCGCATCTCCCCTCATATACTGAAGTTATATTCACAAGTCGAAATTGCCATTCCAAGGACCACAGAAGCATGATTCGATTCCACCATGCGTTCAATATTTATTCCTCCCAAGTTCTCACCCTAACAGGTCTCCAGCACCATTCACATACTCCAGAATATAATCATTAGACTTTATGCAAGCTAAGTTTAGAAATACAAACCATTCTCATATCACAAACGTCTTATTCGATAGTGATATAGAGAGGTAGTCGAAACAACCTCAAATATGGGCAGGATTTTATGTTCATCAAATGCGAAACACCATTTTCGATCTTCAAAACACATTTTCACGTTTGAAAAAGGGATATTAAACCAACCACCCTATATTATAACTTGCAAATTACACTATATGATAGTTTTGCTTCTTTTAATTAAGTCTACCAAGTATTGATGTGACTTGAGCTGTTGGAGATGTTGTTATGGACTTTTGTAAATAGGGTGTCTAGGAAGATGCGATATGCAACAAAACACTTTTTTATGTCACTGTCACTGGCGCATTCATTCATTAAGGTTTTCCAGTTTTCAACTCGATTTAATGATCTCTAAACACAATCTTTCTCTTTGAAAATAAATAACAATTCAAGTACCCATTTCCTCGGGCTACTTTTTTGATTTAATTACAATTTTGCTTCTTCACTATCTTCTCAGAGAGTTTGATCAGAATCAAAACGATCGGGAGTGTGATATATTGGTTTGAAAAGAGTGTTCCTTTGAGGGTGCGACGTGCAACAAAACATTTTTTGATGAAGTCGGCACCTTCATCTGATTTTCTAAGCTCAAACCTTTATTTTGGAATCCCAAACCTACAACTTTTCACTTTGAAGAGGTATAGAACCACGAGCATCTAATATTTCCGTTTGAATTTTACAAGGCATTGCAGGTTTGCTTCTTCTGATTTCATCCATGTAACTTCTGAGATATCAGAACAACTGTGCGAATTGATATTAGGATCTTAAAACCAGGTCTCATTGAAGGTGCGATATGCAACAAAAATATGTATATGATGTTGTTCGGTAAACTCTTGTCTTGGGAGGGGTGAAAAGTGTCAATTTTGTATTTGAAAAGTTGTTATAAATTAATCAATCATTGTATACTCTTGATTTCTTTATGAAATGTAAATTTAGCTTCTCATTAATAGGATCATAGGATTTTAGATCTTTCATATGTTTTGTGAGATGTGGTATATAGGAATGAAAAGTGTGACTTTTTGAGAGTGAGATATGCAACAAAAATACATCGAGGCAACTCTAATTCCCTCTCTTGGAGCAGTGAAAACCATCAAGCTTCATGTTTGAAAAGTTATTATAAATCAACCCCTAATCGTATACTCTTGATTTATTTATGAGAATTGAATTTGGCTTCTCGTTAATAGGATCATAGTACTCGAAGATGTTCAGACTTTTGGAAGAGTTAGTATATGGGATTAAAAGGTAGGTCTTTTTGAGGGTGCGATATGCAAAAATTATATATATGATGTTCGTAGACTTCATCGCTTGAGGCAACTCTAATTCCTATCTTGAAGGGGTGAAAACCAATACTTTTGTGTTTGAAAAGGTATTATAAACCAATCACTTATTAAATGCTTTTGATTTTTGTATAAGAATCAAATTTGGCTTCTTATTGACAGGATCAAATCACTTTGGATATTTCAAATGGTTTGAAAGGGTTGATATATGGGCTTGAAAAGAAGGTCTTTTTGAGAGTGCGATATGCAACAAAATATTTTGTGATGACAGTACTAGGTAGTCAAAACTTTCCTTTGACTTGGGCGTAGAATTATATTTTCTAGCAGCACTTAGATACTTATCTTTGTGTATAGTCATCTCAAAGTAGAAATAAAGGTCTTCCCATTGACATTGAATATCAATGACTTTTCAGTAGATACTCCCGCAAATGACTTGAAAGGAACTCATAAGGAATGCTATATACTGAAGTAATGGTATAAAAATGGAAGAGAACCATGGGTTTACTCTTAAGGGAGCTTGAGGATATGGCAGAGCCAGCATTTTAAGAAGAAAGATGATGAGGCTTTTACTTCAGTTACTTGGCTATTAAGATGACGTGACATCGAAGTGAACTAAGTATGGATGAGAGCAAGCTGTATCACCATATCAAACAAACTTATGGTTGCCAACTTCACACATAATCAAATACTTGCATCAAAGTATGCGCCGGGTCCGCTCTTACCAAATAATCAAGAGTTTCAATCATAAATGCATATATCTTCAATACAAGCAAGTTAGGCATGTCTGCCTCGCTCATCCACATATGTACAATCTCCTTCCCCGCCCCCGTCATTATGTCCGAACTCCATGCACTCTCTACTTCGTCCTGATGTGCTTCAACTTCTTATCACTCCATAGAAAGTTATTTGCGTACACCTTGGGCGTAATTTTCCTTTCATTCGGCTCTTGCACAAAAAACTCATATCCCTGCTTCTCCGCAAATCTGATCGCATCCTCTCTAGTTTTGAAGTTCACGTGTGTGCCTTGCATGAAGTCGGCCGATGACTGCCATCCCATAAGAGGATTCTCCCAACGATGGCCCTTGGACAAGATGTCCCAGTCCATACGCCAGTGGTGACCATGCCAGTCGCCGGATTGCGTGGGGGTTTTTGAAGGGCGGTAAATACTAGAGGGGGCACAATCAGCTGTTTGTTCGGGATGCTAGGCAATGGGACTGTAGCTGAGTAGGATTAGGATGTTGAAATCAGTGGCGAACGTACCGGACTGTCCGACCTTGCAGCTCGACAGGAGCACCAGATAACACTGCAGCGGGCAGAGCTTCTCCCTCTTCGCTACCATTCATAACGCGCTTTGGGATTGGTGTGAACAATCTGCCAATTTCCCATCAGTAATTCGTCCTTCCTCCCAAGTGCGCAATTTGTCGTTGTGTCCCCCAAGGTAAACTCACGAAACAGCATGATCGACCTCCACTCCGTAATCCGGTTGGTTATGCTTAACCACCTTGTCTTTTGATTGAGGGTGATTAATCGTCGACGACTCCTCAGTAGCATGGCGCGGTTGCGAGACGATTGAAGAAGTAAGAGGGACACCAGCAGATGTCTGTTCGTATCTCACCCCATTTGCAATGGATCGCAGTCCAGGAGTACCTGCAGTACGCAATAATCGACCTGCAATTGAAGGACGAAGAAGTGACATTTTGTGTATAGTAAGTCGCAATGGAGGGGAAGATTATTAGATGTCCGAGTTGGAGGTTCCATGTTTGAGGCTCCGGGAAGAGGCTTACATAAGCACACTAGCTTGTGGAGGCTTTCGGAAACAAGATTTGAGGGAAGACTGAAGACACAACATCATTCCACAGTTCCTAGATTTCATCACGACGTCAGAAAAGGTATGTACAATTGCGAAATTGAGAAATAAACAGTATGGTTACTACGCGAGGACTAATTGAACTAATTTCGTGTGCCAGTCATCAACATGAGTTTCATTACCCGCAGAGCTCTTTCCACCCTCATCCCTCCTAAGGTACGTCCTCCGTACCCCTCTACACACTCCTCATCTGCAAAAAAATCTAACTCCATACTAGGTTGCCTCTCCATCCGTAAGTTCTCCTCTTACGCCATGATATATGTCTGTCTACGGCTCGAGCTTCCTTACACCGCAAATCCCGGATTACAAATTCCACAAACGTCTCTAACAATAAGACAGGGACTCGGCGCCGCCAAAGATGCTGCCCGCATGCAACGTGTAGTTAGCTTCTACGAGAAACTTCCCCGCGGACCAGCACCAGAGATCAAGGTCAAGGGATTGATGCGCAAATATCAGGCCAAGCACTTCGGCAAGGACCCTTCTGCTACACCCATCATCCACGCCTTGATCCTTTTGGTTGGTATTGGTTATGCTCAGAACTACTACTTCCATTTGCGTAAGTATTGATGATTTTGGGTTTGCTTGGATCAATGGACAACTAACAATACGGGGCAGGTCATCACAAGAACAATGCTCACTAGATGCATGTTTGAGGGGTAGAGGAAGGGGGCGAGGGAGAGTAGTATATTCGCGGGCATTATGTTACTCGGGTGTAAATAAGGAGTGGATAGAAGAATACCAGTCAAGTTATTGGTTGGATCTTGTGCGTCATGGCCCTCATATTGAGTGTGATGCAATCAGGGCCTCCTAGGCAACCTCAACAATGGTTATGCGGTGTGGTGGAAGAGTCCGGTCCTAACTTATCGATACTCCTTTACTCTCGGAACACGCTCGTCATAAGAAAGGAAGCGAATCCTACCTACATCCCATTGAATACGTACCCAGATTCATTACATTTTTTTCTGTCCCTCAGAGGTAGTGATCAGATTAGAAATGTGATAGGCCTCGCCATTTCTTTCCTTTCAACCCCTTTCTATTACAATCATACCTCATGAACATTCCTCGATTATCGAGACCCAATGGTGTTAAAGGCAGTGAAAATAGAGACGTGGGAAATGAGTTGAAAAAATAAGTCAAATTTTCCCTGTTACATGTTGAAAATCCACTGGTTCCTTAGTTTTCGCATTGTAACAGTGGTATAGGAATGTGTAACTCTTATAAGTATAAAATACGATGTAGCTGTAGCTGTAACTCTCCAAGTTGCAAAATAAAGTTATACGAATTACCTGAACTTAGGTAGGTAAGTATTGATAGTTTCCAAATATAGTAAAGAATTATTTTTCAAGTCTATTGAAAAGACATTTTATATATGAGTATTATGTTTAGATTTAGGTTTTATTTGAAAGGCCTTAATTATTATCATAACAAAGGAATAAAAATAATATTACCCGGTATTATCGGTATAGTTGATTCACATCATCATTACCTAGTTTACATCAGCCTCGAAGTAATTTAAATGCTTAATCCCTAAAATTGTCAATATTAACACGCTATTACCTAAATTGGCCTAGCACCAAAATTGAACTTCGACCTAAATAGATAATAGTGTCCCGTATCATTGAACTCTCCAGCAAAAAATCAAATCAACTTCATTACCTACCTCATTACCTCCCTCCATTGAACTCTTCATCTTCTACTTCTCCGACTTCTATTTAAATTAAGATATTGAGAAAATCTATCTTGAAGATACGTTTCTAATTGTCGCAACTCAACGTCATTTCTAACAAAACGAAACCCCCCACCACATTTACACTGTCAAAGTTTAGAAAGCTTGTACAGTCACGAATACAATTGGATCAACGCATGCGCAACTACTTCGATACCAAATAAACATTCTGAAGACGTATGATGGCAACTGAAGCCACTTCTGAGAACTTCGCGACCCCATCTATAACTCCTGATCATGAGCTGGTTAGTACATGCATCGAATGGTCCCTTGCAGTTCATTAAAAATATGCTGACCTGCGCCTAGAACACTACTGAGACCAAGAGTCAAGATGTGCCCTCCGAACAAAACCTTTCTATAGATGGAATCACTACCGATAAAGATGGAAGTAAACAATATTTGGATCTTCTCGAACCCACCAATAACTCAGCGGAGGTCAGTGTTAGTGAAGGATCGGATACTGAAGCTACGAAAGCGGAAACCTCGAAAATTGGTGATGAGAAAGGTGGTCATGTTCGATCGGCCTCGACCGTCAAGAAACCCGTCACTTCTTTCAAGGCAGTTTCAGTAAACAAGACGTTTTTGGCTTCGAAAGCTTCCACGACTGTGGCCCCATCGAAGATTGGAGATAAAGGTCTAGCAGTTTCAACTACCACGCCAACAACTTTGACAGCTTCGACATCATTTACACCAAAACCTAGATTGGTCGCAAAGACAGGAAGTGGCCTTCGTGATTCAACACCTCGAGTTTCAACTACAGTGAATGGCGGAACAGCTGGTGGTGCTCCTGATGCGAGTGCTGTGTGGAACAAAAACAGACGTAGGTTACACATTACGATATTATGCGGCAAATCTTCTAACAAAAAACAGCTGCAGCCCCGCCAGAACCAAAGCGATTCACAGATGAAGAACTGAAACTCCGTTATGGTATTCATCTAGCAACGAGACTACAATCTGACGACCCTGGTAAGCAAGCAAATTGGGCAGACATCGACGATGACGATGATGATTGGGCACCCGAAACAATTGAGTGGACCGATGGCACAAAGATTACTCTACCACACGCAGATGAAGCACCTCCTCCACCTCCCGAACCTGTACCAGAGCTTGCGCCAGTTGTAAGAGAAATTCAGAAAGCAGAGCCCGCACCAAAATTATCTCAATCACCAACACCTCAGGCGATAGCCGCACCGGCTCCTCGACTTGGGTCCGGAAAAGCTGGTTTGATTCTTAAGGGTGCTCTTGAAAAACCTACTCTCGTTGCAAAACCACCTGGACCTCCAACACCTGTTAAATCTCCATGGGCCCAACTTCCACCAGTTGAAAAGGTAGCCCCTGTCGCAAACGATTTTCACCAACATTCACTGCAACAACCTCAGCAAAGTCGATTCAACCAACGAGATCCTCATGGGTTTTCTGGTATACCACCACCACCTGCAAAAGAAATTGCCGCCGATGACTTTAGTCGGACATGGAGAGAAAGCAATGCGCATGCTAGCAGGGAGCTCTACAATTCTCAATCTGGTAGATATGAACCTGTTAATGACGCTCGTCGTGGAGTCTCGAGATCCGATGGACAAACTCGTGGGCCTGCAGTTCTTCAACGACCATCGCATCAAGATGGACCTGCAGAGCCCTCTGCCGCCTTCCAAACTCATCGCGCACATGGGCAAGAAGGCTCTTATGGACGCCGTCGCACTTCATCTAATGTTAGTGGAGGAAGTGGAAACTTTGCTAGACGTATGAGCCGTGGTCATGATATGCCGCCGCCACACGATATGTTGAACGCACGCAGAGGCTCTTTGGCGGCTGTAAGCGATGCGCCATCTTCACCGAGAAATTTCTCTCCATCCGGTCAACATTTTCCACCTCAGCAACATCAGCAACGAGGTCTTCAAAACCAAAACCAGTCATGGCAATCTCGGGCATCACCAAGTGTCAGTCATCCATCCCCACATTCTGCTTATGGTCAACTTGCTCCAGTTTCGGGCGATATGCATATGCATGGCCAAGGTCCACCACAGGGCCCACCAATGGATTCAGCGCCAAAGGAAGACGTTCTGGAAGAACAGAAAAATATCATGAAGCGCACTCGTGAACTCGCAATTAAGAGAAGACAAGAGGCAGAAGCAAAAGAAGAGGCCGAAAGAAAGGAGCGTATTCGTATTAAGCTTGAAGCTATGGGCCCACCTCCAGAGAAGAAAAAGGGGAAGGACGAGCTGGCCAAAGAAGATATCGTTCCTATATCAATTCAGTCACGCGAGGTAAATCCAATTTCTTCGGCCAAAGTGGTGGAAAAATCCAACGATGTACGCGCACCAAAACCAGATGTCGCAAACGAAAATCTCAATGCAAGACACATCGAAGATAATCCTACTGGTTCAGATTTACGACCAAATGGTGTATTCCAACCGAGTGCTTCCGCACCTACACAACAACTTGTGCCTGACAACCGAAATCCACAATCCTGGCAGAGAAATTCAGCTTCAAATTATCCTACCGACAGATTCACTTCATGGTCGGCTGCGCCCCCTCCACCACAAAATTCTTCTTCGAGAATTTGGGGACCTCCTACGAATGAAAAAACAATTGGAAACGGTACCTTCAATCCAGATTTAAACAGGCTTCCAGAGATGTCTCGCCAATCACTCTCAGATTTGTCTCATCCATCTGCTCATCCAGGACCAATTGGCCCACCTGGCGCAAATCGTGGTAATGGTCCCTATCAGGCAAACCGTGGTCGCGACCAATACAATTCTCGACCACCTCCAATCGGACCTCCATCAGCGAATAGAGTAACGCAACCACCGAGATCATACGAAGATGAGCAACGAAGAGCTATGGCTAGATCTGTTTGGGGTGGCGTGCCAGACAGAATCTCACAAGAGGATGTACTTCTTCATCAACAACACCAAGAGGAATTGGAGCGCAAGCGTGAATTGGAAGCAGCTGGTGTTGTGCAAGAACCTTCTCAGCCTGTTTACGAAGATACCTGGAAACAAGTTACATTGAACGAAGACGGCACAAGAAGCAAGACGAAGAAGGTTTCGACTGCATTAATTGATGGAGGATCATCGACTTCTTCAGGTTTGACTGAAAATATTTCTCGCGGCAGTGCTCAACCCGAATCATCTCGACCGCAATATAATAACTTATGGCCATCGGGTCCAGAGACAAATGCATCAACTACACATCGAGAGTCGAAATTTTTCCCAAATATTAATCGTGACATTCGCCTTAGTGAGGTGATTGGTCATGGTTTTGAACGATCGTCAACACCATCCCCACCTCCACCTACCATGGCTGGTCACCCGGCGTATGATAGCGATTTCGCACATCCACATGTCGCTTTACCGCCACCTCTACCTGTCGTTAGATTGCCGCCTCCGAATGTTGTCACACTAATTGCTCCCCCTCGACCACAATCTTTTGCAGCCGCAGCAGCTGCCGCTGCTCCTGCAGTTCCTGCCATCAATCAGATACCTGGGTTAGCAGCACGTCAAGGACTTGCGCGAGCTGGGTCAGCCTCTAATGACACTCGCAGAGGTCCAACTCCTTCAACTCAGACAGGCGAATGGAAAGAAAAGATTGATCAGTTGTTCGGCAAAAGGTCCCCACCAAGAACTCATGCTCTTGCTGTAAACTCTTCTAGCAGACGTGCGCTTGATCATTCGTCAGGTCTGCACGCTTCTTCTGCCACTGTCTCTCTCCCTGGATCCATGAATGGGAACTCGAGCTATGAAGAAGAACCACTGGACACAAAACCAGCCGCGGAGGAATGTTTCGAAGAACAAGAGATGGGGTCATTGCCTGTCATCAAGATTCCACAGACCACGCCACAAAATGCATTTCAACCCGTTGCAGCTCCGAGAAATATGCCTCGAAGATTCCTCGTTTCTGACACAACATCCGTCGAACCAATTCAATTTCTAGTAGAGACCAGCAATAATACCAGTCTTCTTGTCATTATGCTACCGGGCCAAGAAATCTCTAGGGTCGTTCATCTTCCAACGCCTCGTATCAGAAGTAATCCTAGACGTGGACGCGGTGGATCACGACAAGCTTCATCAACCCATCCAAGAGGTGGCCGTGGTACAAGAGATGCCAACAGTGGCCCTTCATCCACCCCTCGCGATACTCAATCTCCTAACCCAAGCAATACTTCTAGCCGTGGCCGTGGTGGAAGAGGGCCTGGAAATAATTCGAACTGGAATCGCCATGTTGCGACACCGGTTCACACTTAATTGTCAGAATAGTTCATCAAGACACGATTGTTGGGTCATCATATTCCTCATGGATATTGAACCTTCAACGTCTATTGACAGATTCAACTTCTTTTTCTACACCACACCACTTTTTCAAAAATATCTACACTTGTAACTTCAAATCCTCATGAGCGGGTGTTTGTCTCATTAGCGGCGATTATGCAGTTTGATTTGCATTATGGATCGCAATGTACATTTGCACAGTCATGACTTGCTTACTGTTTTCTGAGAAGTATAGGCATAGGGTTAGGATGACATGGAGGGCATAATTTATGATGATATGGGGGATAAAAAGGGATCATCATCTGGACATGTAAATCCTTATGAGAGGATTCCTAAGAAACTCTCGATCATAAGTACTCCATTGCAATATGTTTTTTTGCTTCATGGCTATACATTCGGGTTGACAGCAATGCCAAATGGAAATGGCTTCTAGCGCAATTCTTCGATAAATAAAATATTTAAAAAATCATGAAATTCTTCAAATGAATGATTATGACTTTTGTGTTGATGGAAAATCGTGATGGCAATCTACTCGAGTATTGTATAATAACCTTACTACTCTGAGTACAAGTAAATCAATACGAGTACCCATGATATTTCTATGTACAAGTTAGATAGATAGTAAAGCACTTCAACCCAAGATAGATATAGAAGTAATATTTAAATTAATAGTTTCTTGTATGAGTATACCATCAACCCCACTTCCATCAAATAAAGGGCGTACATTATTATTATTATTAGTAATCTCCAGATCAACATGATTCGAAGCCTCACCAATCTTTGAATACATGTCCATATATTATCACCTTCAACTACAACTTTACAACTTTCAACCAAACATCACTGACAACCCTATCAGTCAGCGACGACGACGACCATGACCAAAAACAACCCCACCTCCTCATCAATGGTTACCCCACGATCCCCACCAAAGAAACAAATCAACCTCCTTCGCGGATGGCCCAACACCTCACTACTCCCAACGAAAGCTATTCAAAATGCATCAAATAAAGTTCTTTCGAATCCAGATCTTGCTAATCCGGGACTGTTGTATGGACCAGATACAGGACCATCGAGTTTGAGGGAGAGCGTTGCTACATGGCTTCGTGGATTCTACTCGGAATACTATCCTCCGACGAGTGCCAGAGAAGAGAATATCCCAATGAACCAAGATAATCAGGGCAAGATCATTTCGCCAGACGCAGATAGGATATGTATTACGGGAGGAGCTTCACAGAATCTAGCGTGTATATTACAGACATATACAGATGCTAAGGTTACGAGGGTGTGGATGGTTACGCCGGGTTATTTTTTGGCAGGGAGGATCTTTGATGATAGTGGTTTGAAAGTTGCGGCTGTTGGGGAAGGGGATGAGGGTGTGGACTTGGAGGACTTGGAAAGTAAGATGGAAGAAGCTGAGAAGAAGGATACGGGTGTAAAGGTATGTTTGCGGCGTTTCACGTGATGTCACTAAAACCTTTTCAATATGGTTCTTGAGAGTTACTATGTACAACTGAATGGACGGTGACACTTAGCTAATCACTATGTGCAGCCCATCAAAGATCCAAAATCAAGACCTTGGGGAAAGATCTACAAGAATATCATCTATTGCGTCCCTACCTTTTCAAATCCATCTGGGAAGACCATGTCTCTATCATGTCGCACCCAACTCGTTAAATTGGCTCGCAAGTACGATGCTTTAATTGTTACAGACGATGTTTATGATTTTTTACAGTGGTCTACCAATTCATCTTCCCGGGATAGTCCTCTAAAGAAAACCATACTTCCAAGACTCGTAGATATCGACCGTACGCTGGATCCTATCCCCAATTCGGATAGTTTTGGAAACGCCGTCAGCAATGGATCTTTCAGTAAGATAGCTGGGCCAGGTGTCCGAACTGGGTGGGCTGAAGCCACTCCAAAATTTGCATTAGGATTGAGTTTGGTGGGTAGTTCGAGAAGTGGGGGGTGTGCAAGTCAGTTGACTGCTACTATCATTGATCAGGTTTTGAGATCTGGGGATTTGATGGCACATATTGAGGGTGTGCTTCAGCCCGCTTATAAGAATAGATATGAGAGGTTAATGGAAGCGGTCATGAGAGAGTTGGGACCGTCGGGAGTTACTGTTGAGAATACGGAGGAGGTAACAGTATTCGGAGGGTATTTCATATGGTTAAATCTTCCTCGTGGTATTGATGGGGAATTGGTAGCTCAGATGGCATTGGAAGACGAGAATCTTGTTGTAGCGAAAGGGAGCATTTTTGAGGTACAGGGGGATGATAGTGTGAAGTTACCGAGAGGGTTAAGACTTTGCTTCTCGTGGGAGGAGGTGGATGATTTGGAAGAAGGAGTAGTAAGGTTGGGAAGGGTTGTTAAAAAGCTTTTGAATGGAGGTGGGAGGTCATATGCAGAAGGACGGGGGAATCAGCAGTCACTTGCGGAGTTCAAGTGATGATCCTGAAACTCGAGTTGGATTTATTTGACAGTATTGCATGTCTTGGGACTTTTCGAAGTTGAAAAGCGTTGGCTGAAGAAATTCAGATTAGTGCTTCCACAACAGCGACTCTTCTGGGATTGAGAATCAAAAATATGTCACCCATCAACATACCACCAATCAATCACATAAACAAACGTAATGACCGTGGACTAGACTATAACGCTGAGAATAGCGGGATAAAAGCGTGGTATGGATATCTTGCATACCGGCAGGAGGGGAAACAAATGGCTAATAAAGTCATGAGTTCAAGTGAACTTGAGGATATTGGTTGTACTTCAGATGTATTGTAAGTAATCATTACAGTAAGTACCGTGAGTTTGTAAATCCAAAACCTCTGCTCATATCTACTTCTGAATTTAATGACAACCAGCGCTGCGGACGAAACTTAAGCGGTTAGTCAATACAGTAGGGTCCAAGAGAATGCCATAGAGTGTTATACTGACTGAAGTCTACACGTTGAACAAATTAGCTCACTCATCAATCTGTGTCGCGGTCCAAGTCCAAACTGGAATTTACTCACCTCCAATGGAATTTTCCAGTCCTTATAAGGGGATTCTCCACCTAAATTGTCTGGCTAATGGGGTGAGAACAACGACAGCTTTGAAAGTGCGTTTCCGGTTGTATCAATTCAATCTTTATTATACTATTATATTGTACTATTATATTGGAACTGTTAGATATTCTTAGATATTCCTTCTTATTTCTAATAAGAATTTAAACTATTCCTATCCATTTCTAACCTCATTTTAACTATTCCTCTCCACTCCTATCCTGAAAAGATTTTGACCACTCCTTCCTGCTCCTAACTCCAGGCGCCAGCGAGCCTATCCTATCCTACAAGGTAGGATAGGAGAGAAGGGGAAATCAAGATTACTGAATACATGCGATTATCCTGCTTATATTCACTATTAATCCTCAATATGCGACCCTGTAATACTACTGTATACTAACACAAACACTGGTTGATAGCTCATTTCTTCAGCATGAAGAGTAATTACTAATTGAGAGTAAATTTTGGATAATAAGGAGTTAGGATCAAAGTATAGTCTCTCACGGCCGACTAAGATATGATTGTCACAATCTCTCTGAAACCTCTGTATCATTTCGTCCATATATATTCTTCGCTCTCAACTCCACTGTGTCAACTTTGATTGAATCGAGATAAACTCTAAAGCTGCGACTCATATCCAGCACCCTTTCGAAGTGGTCCTTCGTTACTTGAATGTTCTCACTCTCGCTATAATCAAGATCTTCTTTCGCCTCGAACTCGGCCAGAGCAATGGCAGTCTGCAGTGCATTGCGAATTTCGCGGCCGTTCAGCTTGATTTTAAGATTTTTAGCATCTTGCATGACATATTCCTTTGCACTCTGGACGACACGTATACTGCCTCCTGTGTCGACGCGCATCTTATTAAAGAACCCTTCCCAAATCGCGCGTCGACTGGCGTCGTCTAGCGGGGGGTATTCGATCACAACATGCACACGTGACATGAAGGCTTCATCAATGTGGCCGACGCGATTCGTGGTCAGGAAAAGGAGGCCGGAAAAGTATTCCATCTTCCGCAAAAATGCGCTGACAATGCCGTTACGTGCGAGATCTGTCTGTTTCCTACGCTCAAGGAAGATGTCCGCCTCATCAATTAGCAGCACCGCTTTCCAGCGATCTGCGAGGTAGAACCAAGAAGTGAGCTCTTTTTCTATGTTCGCCTCTTTGATTCCAATGTCTGCTATTGTTAGGGCAAGGAGGGGTCGTTTGATTGACAGGGCTGTGAATTCTACTGAGTATGTTTTCCCTACCCCTGGAGGCCCATGGAGGAGGATGATCACCCCCTTGCCCTTATTTCTAATACTATCAGCACCCCAGGCTAATTTTGTACCGGTCCGGCTAGCAGCGAGAGCTTTGATGATTTTCAAGTGGGCATCTTCCATCACAGGCTTTGTTGGAATACTTTCTTCGATGGGTGAGAGGCGGTCTATGTGTGTGATAGCTGTGGAAAGGACTGTTAGCTTTATTTCCTATGGCAGCTTGCTTGCGAGGGTGCTTACACCATGTTTTTATGTCGAGTAAGAAGCAGTAGACATCAGGACCTATAAGCCAAGCTTGGTCTTTGCTAAGCTTTTTCGGATCGTTTCCCTCAAGCTTGAGAAATTCTGCGAGCTTAGAGATGCGTTGCGTGGATTCTGATCCTTTTTTATACATCCAGATGTGATCTTTCAGTTCTTTCTCATGCCAGATCCATAACGACTCGATGCTCGCATCGAAATTCTGGATGTTTACTAGATCGTCTAAAATGATCGAGCCATGATACTGCCAGAAAAGTCAGTATTTGAGGTTGAAGAAGACATTCTCTGGGGGATTCCTCTCACTAGACGCTTTTGTTCCTCAAGTGTTTCATCTTTATGGTTCATCAGCTGAAATCTTGCGTTTAACAACATCACTTTCCTTGCTCCTCTTGCTTCGAACTGTTCTCTCCTCGCTCCATTGTCGATAGCATCCCAGTACACCCTTGGCACGACCTTGAGACTAGTAACATCTTGCTCTCCTTCATACCGTGGAATGGTGTGTTTTTTATGTGACTTTGATGAATCTGTGTAAGAGCGGGTGAAACCCTCAGTATCGTACGAAAGAAACCAGACGTGAATGTTCCAGTGTGCAATCTTTTTCTTCACCCACATTATTACACATCCAACCCACTCGCCTTCATACTGGCAGTATGCCAGCGTTCCTGGTCTTAGAAGATATCCCAATGCATCAAAGGCGATAGTTGGAACTTTGTTTTGCAAGCGTTTTTCGATGGGAGGAACAAGTCGATGAATCTGTGGCTGAACGAAGTCGATCAATATTTTCAGGTGCTCCGCTATTTCTTCATTGTCTGATGAGTGTTCTTCGTGCGGAGATGACATCTTTTGAAGGAGACCTCGCAGCTCCTTTTCATGATGAATCAGTATCCAATAGGGCTCATGGATTATCACGACATCGCCACTTAGATTCTGCATTGGGTAGTAGTCGACAACTTCTCGAATCGCTCCAAGTAACTTTTGACTGTGGATTTCCATTCGAGTTTCTGTGACAGAGGTCACGTTCAGGTCTTCAAACTTTATAGGGGGAAGTTCGGTCGTCGTTGCCGGTGGTATCGCATGTTCATCTGGCGCTTTTATTGTATTTTCGAATCTCAATTGTTCTGCCCTCTTGTCAAAACCTTCCGCCTCAATGATAACCTCAAAGATGACGGGCGGACCCTGGACAATATCATTCTGTTTGTCATTCTTATCGTAGAGGCGAGAAAAGTCGAACGGTACGTCGTTCTGAGTTAAGGTATATGGTTCTGAACTTGATTCATCGGACACCACGAGCGAGTATTTGATATTCGCAGTATTTTCTGAACCGTCGTTGGGAACAAGAGGGTCGTCAGGTGTGGCTGATGCGGGGTCGGAGAGCTTTTCTCTTGCGACTGTGGATTCGGACGTGACTGGAGATAGAGAGTTTTCTATGTCACTGCTACAAGATGATTTGTCTTCACTGGATTCTATGGAGCTAAGGGAGCTTAAGGAATTTTGATGTACGAAGGGTGGAGTGCGGATATCAGGAGGCATGTTTGAAGCTCTTTTGCCAGACGAGACTGAGAATTATATTTATGTCAAGTTGAGGAATTCGCTGTTTGTTGTTCGTCTTTATCTTTTAATTTAAGCGCTTATACTGTAATACTGTAAGCTGCCACTACCCACCCCACTACAGAAGTGATAAAGCTTCTCAATCAAGCAGGATTAGGCTCCCAGTGACCAGTGACCCCCCATTAGAATGATAAGATCATGCATTTTCATTTGCTTATCCTATGCGGTGAAACCCAATATGTAGGGGCCGCATATTTTGGAGGCTATGGGTAAAGGCTGACGAAAAGGATTGGACGAACAAGAGAACCTTCGACCCCAATATGAAGTTATCGGGAAGAGGCTGCATATTTTTGTCGCTCAACATCTTTGTATGAGTCTATGAGTAGATTGGGTAGCACTGTAGCAGCATTGTAATTGGATTGCGGAAGAATCGGCAAGTAAGCGCTAAATGTCTTGGCACCGATGTTGCAGCTGATGCTTTGAAAGCCATTCACACGTTCCATTGACAGAGACTGTGAAACTAACAACGTGGCCCAGAAGATCGCTCTCTTGTTCATCAAATAGGTTGAATCTCCCCAAGGGAGTTTCTTCCGACAAACATGGCGGCAAAAACCGAGGATGATGTTGATAACTTTTCCATCGTACAACGATATAGTGAGATTGTGCGAGGGGACATGCAAGATGAGCCTCTCTCGAAGGGTCTGGCTGCGAAAGTCGATGCTGATGCGGAGCGAGAAAGGACGGGGAAGTATATATCGGTAATGGATGAAGGGATAAAAGGGTTGTTCGGTGAGATCGGACATGACCCGAGAGAGCGAGTATTCCATCATTTCTAAAACAAATCTCTAACGAGATAAAGCTACGATGATCCTGCTACTAAACAACTTGAAGAGCTTGAAGCTAAGAGCAAGGAGCTTGAGGTTACATGGGTGAAATTCAAAGAAAAATTCAAAATTCCAGACGATAGTGTTGGGGTGAAGAATCAGAAACCAGATATGAATGTGGCCCGGCTTGCCATTCAGAAGGCACAAGCTCAGATTCAAAAGAACCAGAGCTCCAAGTTTGGGAAAGTGAAAGCATTCTTTCGCACAAGTGCTCAAGTGCTTGACAGTCACAACTACCTCTTCGACCTTTTGCCAAGTGGAGAAAAGTACACTTCGGTCTTCACGGGTGCATTCTCCTCAATTGTCAAGGTAATTTCCCTCAAATCTAGACAGTATTATTCTGATACAGAGCAATGAAGGCCACGATTACACACGATGACATTGCCAGCGAATTATCTGATGGATTCGATGATATATCGGATCAAGTCCGCTCCTTCTACTTTGTCATCAAGCTTCACCCGAAATCGACTTATATCCGGTATCACATCTCATTGTTCTACTTTGAACTATTTGGATTTATCATTTGTCTCATGCGTGAATGGTATCAATCGCCCTTGAAACGGCTATCCAGATGTCTAGGAACCTCCTTTCTGGATAAAACTGTTCGAGGGACACTTAAGGCTTTGCGCCAATACACAAAACGAGTGGAAACCGAAGATCGTCGAAGGCAGAGCGAGATGAATACGCGGCTACTCTTTATTCTCGGTGCTACGGTACAACAGTCTCTTGTCCACCAGGCGAAGGACAGCAAACAGCACGATCAAGATTTCAAAGCTCTGGCTGCGTACGTGATTGCTCTCCATGGAAAGCCGGGGAGTGTGCGAAATATGAGCCCACATCCACTTACAACTCACACGTTGATAGCAAAAACCCAGGATGAAGAAAATCACCTTCCTTATTTCAACCCCATCCCAACATGGTCAAGGGATACGATCCTAGCCGATATTGAGCATCTCAAGCCGTATCTCCAGACCGCACGCGACCTCAATAACTTAATTGATACTAGCCACTGTATCGAAGTTAACAGTGAGGTCTCCATTCGAGTCCATAAATGGGTAATAAATACCTCCTCTGAAGCTCTTTGGATCGAAGGCCCAGGAGATGTCTCCTACCCCGGGCAAGCGACCCTCACCTCAGCTTTCATGCTCGGGAATCTTCGACGTATCGCCATCCCCGTCATCGTATACTTCATCAAATACGACCCCCGCTACAAATGGGACCCAGAAGAAGAACTCCTCAAGATGATATACGGCCTACTTTACCAAGCTGCTCAGACCATTCCCGAAACTCTCGAGCCGCAACTCGTCGATCTCGATTTCTCGACCTCACGCCTCAGGAAGATGAAAGAAGACGTGGCAGCTCTGCCGGAAGCGCTTAAGATGCTAACAGATATCCTGGCCATCGGACCACCGCTGCAGTTTTGCATCATCGATGGCTTGCAACTTTTCGATGGTCGGCATCTGAGCGTGCTGGTGAGGAGGAGCATCCGGGACTTTGTGGCGCTTTTATGTAGGGCTGTGAAGGATAAAAGTAGGAAGGAGAAGGTATTTAAGGTTTTATTTACTACTGAAGGGATGGTGGACGAGTTAGCAGGGGCGGCGGGGAGAAACTTAGTCAGCCGGGAGACATATGAAGATGAGGATGAGGATGAAATGTTGAGTATACATAATATTGTATAATCAAATGATGAGGAAGCTCAAACACAAGTATAGTGTTAGTTATAATATATAAGATTTTAGGCTCTCATCACATCTCCAAGACAATCAAGCTGTTCCAAAGAATTTAGTTGAAGCCAGCGCCATTTTCTCAGTATCCGTGTCTGCCTCTAAAGCTTCGCAGTCCTGATGTGGATACTCTCAATGGTTTAGTAAAGCTATTTAGTCTCTAATACCGAATAATATTCCTATGATTACAATCCCTCACTATCTAATATTTACTATTTATTTCATTGGTTTTATATACTAGCGCGAAGATTCTTACATTTTTGAAATTCTAACTACTAAATGTAGAATTATACACAAACTTATTTTTTACTGATGATATTCTACTCGAGTATAGGGGCAAGCTTATCAGTACATATATGAAGTGAATATAATGTGTGTGTGCGTTTATATTCATTGTCTGGAATACACTAGCCTGTGAGTGCTAGTATCAGATGCCCCTGAGTGGTAAGATATGTCGATTATAGAAGGCCATTAGGCTCTCTATTATACTAGTTTACAGTTGTTATACCGGCATTTAGATTTACATGATTGCCGTTACTGATACGGAGGCTAACAAAAGATAATATAAGGAAGCGTGTAGGAACTATTCCGCAAAGAACATACATACAAGCTAGGAGCTCCCTTTAATTTGTGTTCAAGATGTAGTATTATGCCCATGTAAAGAAGGCTGCAGGAAGTTCATTATTTCGCTTGATCTGGTGTGGTGTGGAAATGAGGGGTATTCCTAGTGATATAAACGATCCTGAGAACAAACAGATGTATAGCCCTCAGACTACGGAGATGGTGTATACGATGCCTAGGGAATGCCTAGATGCCTAGGAGCTCACCGCGATATAGGTAATGGCAGATAAAATCGGGTAGGACAGCAATGATGCCTTATGAAGACGGCAATATATAGTGAACTTGACAACACAGTAGTGTTTTAATTGGCGACAATGAAAATGATTATAACACTCTGGATTAGCTGCGCTGGATAAATACTACGACAAGGATACTTTTGTTCCAAAGACATACCTGCTTCAATACAAAGTCCATAAGCCATATCTTTGTGTATTGTAATCAGCCTAGCTTGTGACAATTTAAGCTATGGGAAACACAAGACTTTATATGGAAATGCATTGAACTCAAATTTAGTTCTCGCAATAGGGTTTACTTTTCCGTGCCACAATCATCTCCTGCCGAACTAACATGAAAATTAGACAACAATGACACATTCCTTGCAACATATACCAGTACGCTCTAGATTCTTTTCGCCAAACGACAATAGTATCTACGAAGCGGCAAAAAAAAACTCGGAAATTAGTAATGGGGATATAAAGTCATACCGAATAAGTGCTTAGAAACCACGCATGTGCGGAGATGAGAACGTCCGAACTATGTAGTTGATTGATAACTTTTGGGCAAGAAAATGGTTCCTGGTTTGGTTTGGTTTGGTTGGTTGATTGCTTCTTTTTGTGATGTTTGAATTATACTGGGAATATAATGACTTGAGTCTTTATAGAAAATGCCGGGGAAAAATATATCAGTAGTATTCGGTTCTGTTCTAGAACATAAAGGAAATAGCTTTAGAATACTGTGACTTTAATTATCTCGAGAAAGGTAAGATTAGATCCACTCTAGTGTATTCGAGTATGAAGAATATTAGCGGGGTTTACTGTACACAACTGTTTGATGCGGGAGGTTTCTCAAGGTGTTAAATATCTCGACGAGCACGTAAAGATAAATAAAAATATAACTCATGTGAGAAGCTGAACCGTCAGTTACAAGCATCTGAGTCTGAGATTAGTCGCGGTAGATGAGATTTTTAGTCCCAATTTAGACGAAAGTTTCAAGTAGTAAGAAGAGATGAACATTAGTCATTGTCGAATTAACGTTAAAACGAGGTTATAATGACAACAGTAAAGCTACCCAAGGATCAACAATTATATCTTGACATCCAAGACTGGGTTATGCTCCCAATGATCTATGAAAACGTAGTCTTAGATAGGGTGAAGCCTTCGTATACTTCTGAGGATTGTTCATTATCCGCACCCGCACCCGCACCCCCTCTAGCGTCATGCGGGACTACTATTGTTCTTTATGTGGTCAATAAGTATCCACCGAAGCAGAGGAAGGCCACTCGGTTATATACTAAGAACCGAAGACTTGGAATCGCAAAAAGAATACTTGATGGGATTGTGGTGTATTACAACTCTTGAATGGGAAATTCACTCAAGGAACCCTAATCACCATTCCATTGTACCCCATCGGATACGAATAATACTTCCGAGATATAAAAGAAGATTAGATCACGTATATGATAAACCATATTTACTTGAATTATCTCGAAATAATTACACCACATGCTGGTAAGGATCTAACGATGGACAATGACTTCAAATTCTAAGAGCTAGGCTAAACCATATCTTGAGGATACTGCAGAAATACCCAGATTGGAAGGATGACTTCTTCAATTCTCTTTATCTAAACATATGGTTATTGACAACAAATCATAGTAAATGACAGCAATATATTAACCTACTATGATATCAAACAGTATCCATCTATCTACTCACAACGAAACATTCCAATCTCTGCAAATATTCTCGATAAATCTTCACTAACAACTACAAATCTTCAACCTCCACAGCCACAACCACAATCACATAAACAGGTCGAATAGTAGCAAATCTTAGCAGCTGCAGAAGGTAGGCGTCAAGACGGTAGGTGCATAGTTTTATAGACTTTAATTTTAATTTTAAAAGGATATTTACAGCTCTCACTTGCTAGCTAGCTAGCTGGTGTATATGGAGATGTATCTGGCCTTCCGGTTATTATTAGACATATTTGTATGATATTCATAACCCGGAGATTGTTTGCTGGTGCTAAAAACACCGTTGAATTGACTTGGCTTTACAATTTTGAATACTCGAGTAATTAGGTACTGTACACAAATAAGACTATGATTCTCTATCAAATTTACCCTACCTGCATGCAAACTATAACAAACAACAATGAGAAGTTAGGGAAAGAGAGTAAAAGCCAATGGAAAACATCACAATCGAGTCAGGGTCAGAATCCATGACAGATGAAATTACTACCGGTATGCAAAGTTCAGATGTAAGGAGGATCTTGGTCAGGAGTACAAGATACTGTATGATTGTGGTATTTGTAGGACTACTGTACTCACTTGTATATTCGGTAACAAGCACATGCACATGCACAAATACAAATGGAATCGGCAATGGTAAATACTTACTTGTATCGATAAATAACCACAAGAATGATAATTAGACAAAAAAGATAATCAGACAAAAAAGATTTCTCGGTATTAGTGGCGTAGCGCAAAAGTAAGAACGATGGTTATGACTTGAAACTGGGTTATCAAACACATACATAAACACTCTGAGAGGGCTTAGTTGTAGGAAGTCACATCAAGCAATCGCAGATTTGTTGTTTTGGTTTGAAAAGATAGATGATTTGGAGATGATATGAATATTGTCACTGGTACTTTATGCAGATACTGCAATCCACGAGAAAACATGACTCTCCAACGTTTGAAATGACACAATAGTCACAGCACGAGGAACTTTCAAAGCACATAACATTCGAGGTTCATTCATGAATGGAATAAAAGCATATGATTGAAGCTAATTATACACACGCATATGTATTTGATATACGTGCCCTGGTAGGAAACTTCACCTAGTATGAGAATAGCAATATACAGGAACCAAACAAATCTGTACTTGACACATCAAATCATTCCAGAGATCTAAAACATTTGAGATGTTCGGATCCATTTCAAGACCGAATCCTCAGATTTAACATCCATTGTAGATAGCTATTTCAACAATTAGTACCAGCACCGGTAATCGATCTCTCGGAGGAAAGATAGGTGAACAGAGAAAGAAAAGTGAGCAAAAAAAACATACCATTAGCATAAAGCGCATAACTATCCGCGTTCAAGACGGCTCTCGCACTGCTCAAAGCAGTAGCAGCCGCGTATCCATAACCGTTATCGGCGGTACCCGGACTATACGTAGCAGGAGCATGTGTAAACTCATGAAGAGTAGTTGTAGCTCTATCCTGAGCATGGCAAGTGCCAGAAATGGCGGGCAAGGCGGAGTAATAGATAGGACAGTTAACAATTTCATTGGTTGAAGGAATTGTGTAAGCGAGGACGTTGGATTCACAGTAGCCATAGACATCGGTGCAGAAATATTTAGTACTGCCAGAGGAGATGGAACCACATTGGCTAGCGACGGCGGAGAGACGAGCAGCGACGACCGAGCGGGTACTGGAAGAGGTGGTCTTGAAGTATTCGGAGAATTTGGAGGATGAACCTGAAGAAGCGGCTGTTGAGGCGGCTTTTGCGAGGGAGGCACAGTAGGCGAGAGCTTGAGTGGTTTGGGATTTCTGAGTGGTGGAACAACCGGATTGAAGGACGGTTCGTCGGTCGATGGAGGTTGGGATGGCTTTTGCGACGGATTTGGCGGCTTCGCCATTGACGTTCATGGTGAGGGTGTTGGATTTGAAGATGATGGCGTCGGTGAGCTCAGTGGATCCGACTTGGGCGACGGAAATGGAACCTTCGGCTACAAAAGTATAGCTTGAAGTGGAGAGGTCGTGAACTTCGGCGGCGTTGAATGTAGTCTCGAAGGTCTCACCGGCTGCAAGAGTACGGAAAACTTCAGGGACTAATTCGGTGCGTTGAATGGAGCGAAGAACTCCCTTGAATGGGACAGCGGTTTCTATCATGTGTTAGCTTTGAATATTTCAGACCATATCGGCATCCCAAACAGATGCATTGCAACAAAACGTGTATATTATATCAAATAGATTCATCGTTCAATTAGAGTGTGGACAATTAAAAAGATTGAAAACTCACCCCCTTCATAAACATTGATCTTTTGAACCGGAGCCGAGTCAAAGAGTGTTCCGTAACTCAGAAGGTTCAAAGCTTCAGTTCCGACATTCTTCACGGTAGCATGAACCACAGCGTTATCCCCAGCAGCCAAAGTGACCTCGAGAACATTGTTTTCCCTAGATACAGAGTTAGCTCAAGTCTTTGATACAGCCCAAAACCAAGAGCTTCCAATGTTCGAAACATTGTGCATCTTTGATTGTGGCCTGATATGGCGTCCCAATATTCTGAGCGAACGTTGAGTTTCAAGTGGGTGGATGTTTAAAACAGATAAAACGTTCCAAGCAAATTCAGTATACAAAACGGATTCAGTATATTGGACGGATTTATCGATGACTATAGTCCAGACCATTGGGAAATTGAAAGATTGTGACTTGCCTCTTTACTGCCGCAGAGTTTGCAATGGCAGCCAAACTGGCAATTGCCAAAATCTTGGAGAAGGCGTGCATATTGATTTAAATATCAGAATGAGAAGTAGTACTGTCTGTTCTGAGGACTCTGAAATTGACGAAGATAGAGATGAAACGCTTGGGTTGGAGTTCTACAATCAAGTGGTAGTTGTCCAAACCTTATATATGCGTTCCCAAGGCTATTCGACATTGATTTCATGCCGATGAACATTGGAAGTTCTCCCCACTTGGAGTTATTGCTCGCGGTTGCAAATGTCGAAAAGGAAGGTAGAAATATACAGATAAGCATTATCCACTCACTTGATCTAGAAGATCACCGTACTTTACACAGCCTCTCCGCCAAATATGGCATCCGCCTGCCTCTTGAAGTCGTACCGGAATTGTCAATGTCCCTCATGATGACAAATGATCGCAATGCCACTCACGATCCATGTTGTCCTACTCTAAATGCAACGATATCAGAATGAATGATTGTAAAGTTTCCTCGAATCTGTTGATAGTGTGAAGGTCGCGGATGTTCAAATATACCTCCTTACCAAGATAGGAAGCTAGAAAAGCCATTTGATAATTTTCAGGCCAAGATACGAAATGAAAGAAGCTTCTCCCTCACTTGGCATCAAGTATCATCAGCAGCAATTCGCAAATCGATTACCAACACTATTTGCAAGTTCACCTGTTAAGTGCCACCACACAAGCTTCTAACGATATGCGGGCGTTCTCAGTATCGTAGCCAAGGACTGTAGTGTCGATCAAAAAGAAGATTAATCAATATCTCAAGAGATTGTACCGTGTCGTTGCAGAAAGTCTAAGAAAGACCAAGACAATGTATAGCTTGGCTTGAGCAAACATGTGGGCTTGGCAGGAATCTTTATATCTTCTTCGTCGACAATACACCTTCTAAATGCGGATATGATCATCTCTTTCACTCTCTCGCATTGTCGAAAGGGTATCTTGGCAAATAATATCTAATACCGAAGGTGGGTGTAAAGTGGGAAGGGTGATGAACGTGAGGGGAAGATAGGAATATAAATGAAGAGCAGGGTAGTTTAGTGGCTCACTTCTTCGGACTTGGAGATACTGGTGAGTACATGCTGCTGATGATAATTCGTCTTTTTATCGGGACCCCCGTTTGTTCCAACTCAATGAAGTAATGCGACTTATTGGTTAGTGAATCTATCCAATTCACTAATGAACCAGATTGGCGAAAGAGGCGGAACAGACCTTCCTTATCCGTCAGTCTTCTTCATGAACCACCCCCTCGGATCGCTAGATTCGGAAGAGAAAGAAGAGACAACGACCTAGAAGTCATCGTCACAGACATGGGCAACATCAGCATTGATCACTCTTGGCCTTGATAAGAAACTGCCGTCCGGGTAATATAATAAAAAACTTGTGGTGGATGTGGCACTGCCCCACACTCTTATATATCGACCTTCTATATTGAGATAGTCAGCCAAGGAAAACCACCACTTATCATTTATCCATCCTCAACCATCCCATTTTACATACTTACCAGACCTCCAACAACTGTTTCAGAACCTCGACAATAATTTCGTCCGGATCGGCTTTTACGGAAACAACAAGCTCTGTGATGTTACATCGTGGCGAGCAATATCCCTCTGAGCACAAATCCCATATCAAACCAGTAGTGACCATCTTGCTCGTCGCTCTTATATTGTTCGGCTTATTCTTGAAAATGGACTCACCTCTAACCGACCAACATAATGTCCCCATCCAGATATCAATCTCAGATATCACTACAATCGATAGCGAAGCATCAAGCTCACCTACCGTGAGCCTGAAAGTCACATTGCGAAATACCTCGGACAAACCTGTATCTTTCCTCCGATGGTCTACTCCCTTCGATCTACGAGCCGCTCCTATGGGAATATTCAAATTCAAATCTGTCGCCAAGGGAGATTTCGCTCCATGCCTAGACTTAAAACTCAACCGAAAGATTCCAAGAAATGGTGTGTTCTCGGACGATGATATAGTTTCTATCGATGCGGGCGGGGAAGAGTCGAAGATTATCGAGATAAAAGCCCCTGAGATTGTGCTGACAAGAGGAGAGAAATATGTGGTGAATGCGAAAGGCTTTTGGATGCATGTGTTGATTGGAGGGAGAGACGAGACAAAGAAGGCAGATGCTAAGGTTTTGAGAGAGGATTTTGAGAGTGATGGTGTGGAGATGGTAGTGTAAAAATTGAAAGGGCTATAGGGGGATGAAAGTACGCTCAGAATGGTGACTGGTTAGCTTCATACTCCGATGGTTAATGGAAATTGATTCGAGAATATCGATGTAGGTTGAATTGGTGCATCAAAACTGCAAAAGTAAGTAATTCAGTGAGTTTAGCTTGTAAGATCACTCTTACTGTTGCAGGAGCAGCAAGGCAAAGAGTCCAAAGGCAAAGGGGTCCATTTAGACCCCCAATTCCCAATTTCATTCATCTCTTCCCATGGTTACCACTTCTTCCCCTTCTTGTGACTCGATGCCTTGATAGTAAGGAAAGAAGATATACAAAAACAAAAGAAACATACAACAGTGGGGATTCGCTGGTGGTCACCCACCCAACTACTAATCCACCGATCTGAAGCTTGTGTATGGCAGAGCGGACGGGATGCCCAATTCTCTTCAGTCTATGGTCGTATGTGGAAGAAAGAGTATTAGACGTTATTATATCAGCGTCCTCTTGTTACGATAACGTGAAGATGAATGTTATTGAATATACGAAGCGGCATTCTTCGAAATCCCTCAGAACTATCTGTGAACTAATGAAGCATAGCATAGCAGTTTCCACAAGTGAAATGCACGCGGTCGTCGTAAAATGTTACGAAGTTCTCTATGGTCAGCTTCAAACACCAATACTTCAATACTGTCTTGATTCTTACAAACTTATCTTACCCATACTCACGAACTTAACCTCTGAATATCCCATTCCCCGTCCTCTTTCTTCTCATATTGAAATCGATCATGTAACCTACTATCTCTCCCCTGCCAAAACTCTACCATCTCTGGTATAATCCTTAAACCTCCCCAGAACTCCGGCACGGGTATATTTTCTTGTCCCTCGAATCTCTTTTCAACCTCTTTTACTCTCTCATCTAGTTCTTCCCTACTCTTCAGTACCTGACTCTGCGGACTAGCCCAAGCCCCAATTCTACTTCCTCTTGCCCTTAAATCATAATAAACCTGACTTTCTTCATCTGGTAACCTTTCGACTTTCCCCTCGACCCGAACCTGTCTCTCTAATTCCTGCCACCAAAATGTAAGACTCGCCCATTTGTTTTCCGCAATGTCTTTTGCTTTTTTGCTCGTTCCCCAATTACTATATATGACAAAACCTCCTTTCGCATCTAATTCTTTCAAATATACCATGCGCGCAGATACACGGCCGGAGGGTAAACTAGCGGTTGAGAGGCAAACAGTTTCGGGATGGTAAACGCCGTTAGTTTGAGCGTGCGAGAACCAGGAATGAAATTGAGTTAGGGGATTGGAATCGAGATCGGTGCGATCGAGTGCGCCTTTTACGAATTGATCTGCGCGGACACCTGTTTTGTCATTGGCGGGCGCGACTATGAAATGACTCTTTGGTTAGATATGAGCAGAAATGGAGGGGTTGTGGTAGAACTTGCAGATGAGTTTTGAGTTGGAGGGTGGTGGGTGAAGGGCCATCTTGAGGAGTGTAGGACAAAAAGAAAGATTCGATGTCAATTTCATATGATATAGGTAGGATGTAAGGAAATCTAAGTATTTGCAGTGTCAGGGTAGTGAGAAGTGAGATATTCGAGGAGATTTATCACAGTGTCAAATGTGATGATGCGGACGGGATATCTTCGGATGAAAGCGGCCGCGCCAATTTTCTATCCGATCCGTTTCTATCATCAACTTCTACCGGTTCCTTCTACATCTCAAACACAAACACACACACAAACTCAAACTCTATGTGGACAAAGAAATAATAAATCTAGAAGAAGTGGAAAAGATGATTTCAAGAGTTTTCAATTTGATTATCAAATGAATAGTGACGACGCGTTTTTCATCATGGTAGCTAATATGGAGAACAGCAACAGTACACATATATTCCTTAAGTTTACAGCTAAGGCCGACCTTTCTCACGGTGTCATATCTTGGAAATCTCTCCCATAGAGATATTGGCCAGGAACTTCCTTTCAACTTCATGGCGTCATCAACAACGAAACTAGGTTGATGGGATTTGCAAATACCGTAGATCAAATACCCAGTGTTGATCATTTTCAGGGGGCAGGTTCATCTCATCAAAGCATCGGACAAAGCTCGATCTTCGGAATCCGATCTGTTTTCATCGATGCTTTCATCGATATTCTTGCTGGCTTAGCTTACTGTTGCATTCAGATTGGAAGTTTATTCACAGACAATTGCAAATAATAGATCCGAAAACGAGAGGTTTGATATGTCACTCATTAGCGTCTAGCAATACCTTCAGGAAACCATCTCAACATTACCATTTCTACGTCTAATTAGATACCAGGACCCTGCAGGACCCTGGGGTTAAATTGATAGCTAAAGCCGTGAGACGTAAGGCTCAAGCGAGCACTCACGTTAAGCTTTCAGCCTTTCAAAGCTTGCAGAACCCTGTTTCTGCTATAGGAACTAATATGGCTATACCGTAGCTATGACGTTTTTATCGCAACCGAATTCTCACATTCCATAATCACGCAACTTGGGAGAATGGGAGAAGCTTCCTGGATCCCATTTGAGGGGGGATCCCAATAGACTGAATTTCTTGCTATTTTGTTTATTAATTATGCAAGTTGGCGGAACCTCTACTCCTCGAATATGAAGAGGCTTTTGTTGACTGTTCCTGATTCCTAGAACAACCAATCATTTCCCCAGGACATTTTTCACAATTTAAGATTTGAAATAACCAAGTTTTAGATGCCGATACCAGACTCTAGAGCCTTTTACCGGTTGCAGTACTGTACTACCATATGCACCAACCCGCTTTCTCCAGCTTTCACGCCAACTACTGAAGCAATTTGTTGCATAAAGGATGTCACTGAAGATTTTGTTCATTATTTATAAGCTTTTTCCAAGCTATTCTCCTCGGAACCAATCAAAGGCCATGGAGAAAGATGGGTTTGAACTTTTCTATTACTTCATAGTTCCACAAGAGCTTTCCGTGACAAGCGTCATGAAGCTCTATAGCTTATGTGTGGCAACTGAGTTCCTTTCTTATATCAATCACTTCAGCTTGTCCGATTTCTCTTTTGAATTAAGCAACTACAACAACTTTCTTGCCAATTTCAACTGTAGATTTTAATTCGGGCATTCAAAAATGTTGTACAAGACAGTAATCACCGCTGGTTTCGTTGCAGCCGTCGCGGCGGTCCCAGCTTCTATCAGTCAGATCAGTGATGGTCAAATACAAGCCGCCGCTTCTGCCACAGGTTCTGCAGCAGCTTCGAACTCTGCTCCATCATTTGGCTCTTATTCCTACAATCAGCAACCGTCTTTGAACAGTGCAGCAGTCTCATCGGTTGCTTCAGTTGCCGGAATTCCAGCATCAGAAATTCCAGGAGCCACTGTTCCTGCCCCGCCCGTTATCAGCCCCGAAGTCACTGGTGTTACAAGCCATGGTCCTTATAGTGGCACACCAACTACTACTGGTGCTTTAAGTACCATAGCACTCGCTAGTCGGGTACCAATCCTGCCAGCCAGACAAGCAGAGACAACCTATGTACCTGACGGTACCCTTCACGAACCACAGCCAATTCCATATCAACCAGCAGGTGGTTTAGGAACAAATGGTACAGAGCCAGTCTACCGTGTCCAATCTGATTTCGATTATCAATCCATCCTTTTGGGTCTTTACCAAGAGTGGATTGAACTTGATCTCTTCCATGACATTCTCGCCAAATTTTCCGAAGAGGAATTCACAGCTGCCGGTCTCACTCCCAGCGATCGATTCCTTATAGAGTTCATGGCCGATCAAGAGTCTGGTCACGCTACCCTGCTTTCGAATTTGCTTGGAGGACCAGGAGGTGCAACACCACAATGCACATACAATTATCCTTACAGTACAGTTACTGAAGCATTTGACTTTGCTCAAAAGCTTACCAGATTTGGAGAGTCTGGAGTGTGGGGTTTCCAATCTCATCTCGATTCACGTGAAGTTGCACAACTTCTCGATCAATCTATTGCCACCGAAGCACGTCAGCAAATGATCTTCCGTCAATTTGCAGGCCTCTTCCCTATGCCAGTTTGGTTTGAGACCGGTATCCCTCAATCTTGGGCTTGGACTCTTCTCGCTCCATACATTTCCTCTTGCCCATCCGACTCCAAGCGTCTTGTTTGGCAAAACTTCCCACGACTCATTGTTCTAAACCAACCAAACATCGCTCGACGTAATGCCACCCAAACTGGTTTCAACGAGACTGTTGGATTTGGAGCTGCTGCACCAAGCAAGTCAAACTTAACTCAAATTGATTCTTGTATTGGTAACAACGTCACTGGTTTCGATTGCTCAGCATCCGTCTCCCAAAACCGATCTATTCCTCTCTCCTATCCAGGACGCGAAGTCTTCCTCCAATGGGATAACCCAGGACAAGCTGTTGGACCAAACAACTCCTACGTTACCTCCACCGGCGCTGGTGCACCAGAATTTGCTATGTGGGTTTCGCAGTTGAATGTTACATATTCACCTCTCATGAACGTTTCATCAGCCAATGGTGTTAACTATGGTATGACCATCCAACCAGATGTTTCTACCTATGAGGGTGACCCAGCTATTAACGGTACTATGTTCTTGGCTTTGACGGATACAAACCACGTGTATACTGCTTTTAACTTGTCAAATGTCAATCCACATGTGGTTGCTTTGGCTATGTATCAAGCTGGTTAAACGGCAGTTGGGTTGGTACGAAATATGATGGAAGTGTTTGTAAGATGACGGACGATATTGTATTTTTGTTAATGAAATGGGTGTGAGGGATGATTTTAATAATACGTTATGGGGGACGATGATGTAAATTTCCTATATTTTTAATACAACGATAATGGTAGAAATGTTTCATATATCTGTTTAACATACTACTTCACTTTTATGATTCTTATTGTATTACACAAACTATTGGGTTCGCTTCTCTTCATTGTCTACTTATTGCGTGAATATAATACTCTTCATCTAAACTTCGCATCTTTCATGCAAATCCTATAAACCACTACTCTATCCTACTCTTCTCTACTCTATATTTGGATGAGTTTTGAATTCGAGTATTGTTTGCTGCGGATTTAAGACGAGTTATCGTTTATTTGTATCTATCTTTGGTTATTATCGATGCGATCAATCTCTATTATCAAGACAATGAGGTTTAACAACAACAAGTGCTTATTTTGGAGGAAATAGTATTTTTGTATTTTTATTTATCTAGTACTCGATATATCTTATTGTATTACTGGTATTTGCTGTAGGATCGCTGGCTGTACCAGTATATCATAATTTTATAGAGTAGGATTTGCCGATTCTCACTCAACATGAATCCATCAGTCTTTGCTTCGATACCTGGACAAAGGATGGAATACTTTTGTATAGAAATTTAGTATTTGTATACACTAGTTGCACGCAGATGATTTACAGACTAAGCTGAACAGAAATTAATTCGGAGGTTGGAAGATTTACTGGGTACAGTGAGTGAATGAAAGAATGAAAGAATGTTTGAATTTTTGAATGAGATGAGATATCAAGCTTTACGCGGTGCCAATGTAAACTATACATCTATGCATCTATCAATCATAAACAACTTTATCGGATTTTGAAGCGAGGTGTATATATCTGAGCATTGTGTTTTGTATTGATGAATGGTATGCTTGATTTACGGAAGAGGATTGCCAGTGGACGAAGATGGTTGTGATGTTGTGGCCAGGACTTAAGCATATTCATGAATGCATTTGGCGTGCGTTTTCACAGATCATGTCTTGAACTCATGTTTTGTGGGGGTCAAGATTCATCTGATGTATCTACCGATTTTCTTTTGGTGGTATTTTGGTTCATCGGATTAGACAACCTTATCGTCGCTGTGTTTATATTTGCTATCAGCCAATGACTTGCATTTCTATTTCCTCTAACACCTCGCCGAGAAATTGGATTTTCGCTGACAATAGATCATGATGGAGAGTGAGAGTTGCAAGTTTTAACGGCAAGCTTGAGGGCTGTTTTTCTTAATTCCGCCATATGCGAATGTTTAGAAATCTTTTATATACTCGATGTCAGCGTGGCACTGCCTTCAGATTCAAGGATTGAGGAAGCGGAAGCCTCGGGAGAAGGGGTGAAAGGGGAGGGAGCTTATGGAATTAATACAATGCTGGAGATCCATATTCTTTATTTTTAGTACCTATCATACTTAGATCCCCTTCATTCACTGCTTAATCCACAATCACGAAATCCAAGCTAAAAACATCACTAGTAAATCCGTATGTCTAGTATATTAGCCTACGATGATTCTGAAGCTCTCCCATAACAGCGGTTATTCCACTTGGAAAGTAAAAATCAGGCTTGGTCAACGAACTCTTCCTCTGTTGGAGTTGCATACTCTCGATTTGGATTTTAGGTAAGTATGAGGCCCCTTGCTCGTTGGCCGTTCAAATTTTGTTTGAGGCTATGACCTATAAATTCATAGTGTCATCAATATTCAATAGTTGCTATCAGTAAATCATGATACTATCACAACCATCATACTGTCAGCTGAAGTTATAGGCCTGAAGTGGTTTGGATTTGTATTTTAAATCAATGAATGATTCAGATATACCACACTACACCGTGAAATCATCTCTCTATGGTTCTCATTTGCTCTTTTATTTTCCTCTGAAGATCTCAACTTCTAGGGGGGTGATTGGGCATTTATATACACAGCCTTTCAGCTAACAGATAAACTTTTGAACTCTTGGATGACCTTACTATGCTTTTACTTTTATAGAACACAAGGTGGATATCCATGTTATTCAGACAGATCAGTTCTTCAATCAGCCACTAGATCTACCCCATTTCGTGTATATTTAAGCCCTTCATGCACTTTTGCATTCCTGTAAAGTGCTCGAAATACTCGGCGATGAATGGCCTAATGGCTTTCAGAAGAGTGTGGAAGTGATCATCCTCATAATTTTGACTGGAGAAGCGTGTGCAAGAATTTTATGTGACAGAGAATCGGTACATAATATCAATCACGATTACTCTCCATTTTTGAGTTTCTCCCATCACTAAAACACGTGTATTGTCAATTTACTGGATTGCAGCTTATTCGATAATCAATTTCAAACTACTCCTAAAGATGACTCTTCTCGAGTACTTCAACCGTGATACTTCTTTTGTCCCAGTGTTAATCTGATTGGGACCGCACCCTAAGGTGATATCACCTTCCTTTCTATGTGTTTATTCAAACTACAACAATCTCGAGATACTTTTATAATCGGAATTGATGATGATGAGAAGGCCAGTTCTATGGTATCGCACGCATTCACTCCTTTAGTAGTATAAGTGAGGCTTCTCCACTTTTCTGGATAGCTTGCTAGTGATACTTCAGTCCAATATGTGGACTGAAGCTCTTTTGATCTTCTACGGTATCGAGCAAGGTATTTCAGTTCTTCCAAATTCTCTTTGTGATTCCGGCGAGCAACTAGATGATATTCACATTTCAGGTGGAAAAGAAAGGGGTGAAAGAAACCTTCATCGTTAGCATTTCTTGAGAACTGGAAGACGATTCAGACACCGTCGCATGATCTCTTGAGAGTTATTCTCGGAGTTGTTCCCATTATTATTGTCGACGCCGTATCCTATCGAAGCTTAACTACTGCCGAGATCTTTGGAATCCTCTATTACTGTTGAATCTTGCGATTGCTGTCACCTTACACCTTTTCAATCTGATAAAACCGTTGGAGTTTTTTAAAACCCTAGCATGTTCACATTACTACAATCGAGGAAAAACTTCAAATCTTACCAAAGGCTCCAAAAGCAATACGGCTAAACTCCATGAGACTTTTAAATAGCTGCGGTTGATCTTGCTTGATCATACCCCAGTTTCGCACTCGAGATCGCTTTTAACATCAAATATTCAGAGTCGAAGCTGTCAACCCTATCACTAGTTCAAGACATTCACTTCAAATTCTGTACACAAGTCTACGGTTTCATTCACTAGTTCCACTCAATATGCCACCTTGGCAGTAAGATGCTTTATATATCATGGGTATCAAATCTGAGTGATGTGAGTGTATTTGAAAGAAAAAGCTTCAAGTTATTCTTCAAACATGATGTACGCAATGGAGCGCAAATCAACACAATTGTATACTGAAGAAGTAGTCATTTATTAATATGCCGCTGTACCGAGCTTTAATCTTGGTTCCTCATAGCTGGTTAATGTTACCGCCGAAGAGCTTTCACTTGAGTATTGTCAAAAGCACTTTAGGAGTTAAATTAGTCCCGTCAATTATAAAGATGTTGTTTTACATAGATTTTAATTCAATATGGTCCGGAGTGCCCGATTTTCGCTTGAATATATCTATTTATCAAAGTAAGGCAGGCTAGATAAACAATTACTATACTCGAGTACAAATTCTGTAATTAGGTTCTACCTCAACTTGGATCAAAAGTTCCTATTATATTTGATCAAGATAATAATACTCTTCTTACATTTCATAGACCGGTTTTACATAAACAGCTGCAGACCCATTTCATTTTCACGAAATTTCCTCAAATTTTCACATCATAATGATTCCTTATGCTGTGCTAAGCCCTAGACTCTACATGTAGTATGAGCCAGCTCTAAGCAGCAGAATCAAGCTCTCGACTGCGCAGAAATACTCCGCTACCCGTGGGGACCCGCAGATACTACGCCCCGCGGGGGACCCGTTGAGCTTTCAAAATTATCCGCCCCGCAAATACTCTGCAAATTTATTAATTTTTATAATATTAATATAATTAATATAAAGATTAATATAAAAACTAATATATTTTTATAATTATACTAATATTATACTAATATTATAAATATTATAAAATCTATATCTGCGGAGTATTTGCGGAGTATTTGCAGCGGATACCCAACGGGTCCCCATTCAGATTTTTCTATTATCCGCCCCGCAAACGGAGGACCCGCGGGGGACCCGCCAGGCCAATAATCCGCCCCGCGGGTACCCGTTGCGCAGCCTAACTGTGAGACATATTCAATACGTATATTTGTGATCAGCACGGAGGTATTTGCAATGTTCTCTAGCACGATCGCTGTCGGGAATCGAACATCTTGTTCCTGAAAAGTTGTTCGCCGTTCAAGAAACTATTGTGCAACAATTTCTGTTTGTGTACTCTTTTATAGTTTAGAAAGTATACCATTCTCACCCTTCGATGCCTATAGAAATAGACCGTAATTTATAATAGTAGGGAACATGTTCAATTGTGGCAGCATCGCATACAACCCCCGCCCCCTCCCCCCGCCATGCCACAATACTCGCATTACACTTTCACACCTATGTTCAAACCTTAACAGTCGTCTCTATTCTTGCTGTCAATTTTTGTTCTAGTCCTCGGGTAATCGTTGTTGTAGATAGTTTTTGCCGCCCCCTTATCTAATCTCGCTAATTCTTCGTTTTACACCCAGTTTAATAACGTGTTTCCCATAAAAATTCGTGATTTTTGATCTCTCTCAACTTTTCATCTCAATTTCAAATAACTTTTTTAATAAATAAACTATTTCAATATTCAAAAAAGATTGAAATAATTCTAATAATCAATAATTCAATTATATTGAAGAGTTTTTTTTATTTTGAAGTTATTTTGAAAAAGATATTATGAATTGAAATTCGAAAGATTTGATTTTGAGAGGTGAAAATTCATAAGGAGTTAAAATAATGATGTTTTTTCTGGAAACACGTTATTAAACTGGGTGTAGTTCTCTATCAATATCCTCTCGAAAGAGGTCTAATCGTTTCATAATTACAAATCCAGAAAGTCTCCAAGACGATCTTTGCAGAATCAAAACTTTAAAGCTACATAAATGTTCCATTTTATTATATCTGCTGTTCAATAGTACAAATGTTACTTCATTTATAGCTGCAAATGTGCATGTGGTGGGGTAATCAAACTTAATTATGGCATGGTGAAAAGGGAAATTTGATTAACTAGCTGCTGAGTAAGTTCCTATGAAAAGCGACTCATTTCATTGTTTCAAATCTGAGTGCTTACGACTATCTCTCGTCTTATACCTTACAAGGGATCGAAATATTTGCAGATTTACAGAGCAATTTTCCTACCATTTTCTTACGCCAAGGTATTTGCATTTCCATTGGCGTTAGCACTATACTCTAATCGAGTATTCCTTCACTGTCATCAATTGCTCATCGATGCGTCTACTATCTTCTTTATCGTTGCTGTCAAAGATCCATCTCGTCGGCCTCAAAACAAACAAACAAATATTATTTTCGCAAGTCGCATCGAAGAATCCAGTCAGTACTCTAACTAACTATGACCCCTTGGAACGAAGTCTTCATCGTTGGTGGGCCTTCACGTCTCTACAGTAGCATAACTTTACATGGAACTTTTATATCCTGAAGATGAGGTCGAAATTCGATCATTGATCTCAAGGAAAGATGGATAATTCAGGTTTGTGGGTCGGGAAAAAAATAGTCGGAACTGTATCTAACCCGGATTATTTTCCAGTTTTGAATCTATGTGAATATTACAAAAGGACATTTGGGATCGATATAAGAGTTGAACATAAATCTCTTGTGCGTTATCTTACTCTGAATACTCGTACATTTCTTGCTCAAAGTTATCAGCGCTCCCAAAATATTTTTAATGTTCTATCCTCTCCGGTAAAAATATCAAATTTAGTTGACAACAATTTCTCGTCGCCATCTGAGCTAATTCTGAATAGTACCCATATGTTGTCAATCTTTCAGTACTCCTCAACAAATCTTTCTAGAAATACTATTTGTCAAACTGAAATCATATTTAGAATCTCGTACGCTATAACTGAATATCCCAGTCTATCGCCCATTACCTTATCATGGGGTGCATCGGCTTTCATGTAATTGTTTATGGTTCCATATTCAGAAGTATTGACATCTTATACTTCAAGATGTGCTGATCATCCAATACTTACTGAAGAAATTGAAAAGCGTTTGTGAATTCGATAGATTGTATAAAAGCTTTCAATTGATCATTTACCTTCGGGAGCATATAGGGCAAAGACAGATATGCAGAGCAGATGGAGTTGAGAGTAGTAACTTTGACTATGAGTTATCTAGAAATGAAGATTTTGGACATATCTCTCTCAGTTTGTCAATCTTGAACACAATCCTATACCAAATTACTCATCATTGACCCCTAGAATTCATTCCTACCATTGTTATCTCTCTATTCCATACTATCATATTTAACATCATTACCACTTCCTCCTTCTCTCGCTACACTATCACCATCAACAAACTAAATACTCACTCACCATTCAACAAACCTCAATTTATATATTTCAAAGTTCTTCCACTTTCCCTTCCCTTACAAGAATCATCCCCAATCTTTCCATTTCCATTTCCTTTCAGAAACAAATTTCTTTTTTCCCATTAGCTATCAATAAAACGTACAGTTTGTAGCTGCCATGGCATTGTGAGTTTTTGTTACATATGAATTTATTGACTATCCACATTTCCAAAAAATCACTCTTTATATATTCAGTACCCCAGATATTATATCCTCAGAAATCACCACTTAGCCACCCACTTATTAGTCTACGAAATTGAGAATCTAATTTAGAAACAATATATGAGTAGAAAGTTCTATAAAGACTCATTACTTTTCCTGTATCCATAGCATTATACAACATACATCTTGAGAAAAAGGGTTTCCCAATAGGCTGGCTATGGTTTTTCGTTTAGATCGTTTCCTAAGCGCTCACTGAGTAATGAGAAGTTCCCCCTTTTTCCTTCATCATCCCTTCACAACAAGTATAGAATTTTATCCGAGAATATCATGATCGTCATTCTCAACCTTTATCATTAACATTACAACACTATTATCTCTTAAAAAATCTTCTCGCTATTTTCTTCTCTAGTCTCCATTTCATATTTACTTCCTTACCCCTCGTCTCTTTTCTTTTCTTTTTCTTTCCGTTTATCATATTCATTTTCATTATCTCCCTTCTCCACTTTCTAAGATTTAATGCCACAGCTAACTGTATCTCACACTTCGTGATTTTACACCTAGAAGCCTCATTTTCTACCTTTTTCATCAATATCTCTATCTACATCCTAAATACCATAAACTTCCTTCCTGTATTTCTGCAAATTGAACAATGAATTTAAATCTCAATAACAAATTCAAAATCAAAATCTCCTACCCCATTCTATTCTGACCTAGCCCGCCTCACTAAATATATACAAGAAACCGCACTCCACTCCAGTCCAATCCAATCCCCCCAAAACATCACACTACACGAGCACCTTAACGCCCATACCAATACCAGTACCAGTACCAGTACCAGTACTCGTTAGCGGACATAGATAGTGTAGATCCATTCACCGCGCTCTAACCTAGCCTCAGCCGTATCCCTATTCTTAGCCCTAGCTCTAACCCTATTTGAGATATCTCGACCCCAGCGCTATCAAAGCGTAACTTATATATATACTAATCACTCCCCTCCTCCCTTCCTCCCCTACTTCTCCATCTCCTTAACTCCCCAACTCCCCAACTCCCGACCATCTATCCCACCGTCCCCCCACCCTCTACTGCTGATAAACCCTCACCTCATTAACCGTCCAAAACGCCTCCTTAAAAGCCCCCGGATTCGCCCCCACAAACCCATTACACGTCCCGCTCAACCCCGCACAATTCCCACTACTCCAAACACTCCCCGCCCAATCCCCACAAAACGTCGTATCAAACACTATATTCTGATTTGCAAAGAATGCATCGACATTACAGGTTCCCCCTCCATTAAACGCCACGACTGGTAGGCCCCAATTACCTGTTACCGGTTTACCTGCTGTGATATCGGCGGGGATACTGCCGCGGGGCCAGAACCAGACGTAGATACCCGAGGATTCCCATTGCATGGCGTAGACGCCGCCGCCGATGTTGTTGAAGCCTGTGCCGTAGGAGTTGGTTTTGTTGGTTGTGACGCCGCAGCCGTTGTAGCCGCTGTTGGCGTTGCAGTTGGAGTCGCTGAGAACGATGCCTGGCTGGGAGCCGGCGGTATTGATGGAGCAGCCGGGGCCGGTGTGTAGGGTTATGCTGTTTGTACCGGCGAGATTGACGCCTTCGATGATATCGATTTCTCTGGTATAGAGTTAGTCTTATATGATACGTCTAGGAATTTAATATATATTGAGGTAGGGGGAATATAACAAGAAAGGATTTATACCCGGTGTAAGGCCAATTAGGTCCAACAAGCCAAAAGGCAGGCCAAACGCCACAAATAGACCCAGGCATATGTGCAATATCTGCAATGAATAGACCATGAGTATACGCCTTATTACTCGAAAGTCTCACAGAAGCGCGACCAGCTGCAGGATTAACAGTCTTATAATCAACACCTAAGTAGACTTGTCCATTGTTGGTATTGATGAGGCCTTGTGCTGAGGCCGCTGATTGAGATTGATATGATACATATCCATGAGTGGGATCTGCACCAGTGTAGAAGCTGAAGGCGGAAAAGAAGTTTTTGGAGTTGTAGATATCCTTTAGATTATACATAGCAGATGCATATTGCTGATAGGTTCCCTGGAGGTTTGTGACTAGAGCGGTAATTGTGAAAGGGTAAAATGACAAGAGGATCAAATAAAGGAAGGTAAGGTTTTGAAACATCTTGCTTCGTTTAAGGATAGGTATGTATGAAACGATGAATATTACACGAGCACATGCAAAGGCCGTGAAAGCTACTGACCGTTACACTGTAAGGAAGGTAAACGCAAGAAGTCAAATCAGAAGGAGTGTCAGATCTGCCGATCAAAAATCCCAAGTGCGCATTATGAACACTTATATGCTCATAGTAGGAAAAGCTATCACTTTCCCAAGACGAGAACGGCTTGTTAATGAGATCACTTGCCATGAACCGCACCCCCGAATCTAGAAATTGATCCCGTCTTGTGAGTGTTACAATCCGTCGTTGCTCAGCAAGAGTTACAAAAGTAACACATCAATCAATTGCAACGTAATCGAAGTATCTTCTGATATCAAAAGCATGTCAGAAAATCCGGGGTATTGGCCATCTCTATCCTTGGCACTCCAAAACCCCGACAAAGGTTTCTTCTAACAAATCATATATTTATCCGTCCAAAAGCACTTGCCAATTTGATACTCAATATCCAAATCTATGAAGAGTATGCTGAGGAAAACGGAAGGAAGGAGAAACAAGGCACATAGGTGACCAGAATTTGCGAGCACTGTCCGCACGAATGAAAGTTCTGAGAAGGGTTATTATATGTTATCATTTACGCCAACTCCGGTAGCCACAGAGAGTCTGTGTTCTGCTGTAGATCGTTTCCCATGTGTACTTTTTTTTTAAGGGGTATTGTTACGGAACTTATATGACCACTTGGTACACAGAGATCTGAACAGCCACTCGACAATCTGACAGAAGTAACCTTAACACCAAGTGAGCCCTGCAGAGACCACAAACTACCTATAAATTGCCAAAAAGGGCTCCAATAATTCGTTTCAAAGAGTGTCAGCAGCGTAGTATCGACCTTGAAGGTATGCGTTGTTTCGCCTCGTGAACCAAATTACCGGACTCTTTTCTATATCGGCTGATATCTTCCTCTAGAAATTTCCCATCATTTGATCGTGTATTACCACCGAGTATATGTCCGAATGAAATTGTTAACACTTGTCTTGTTCTTTTTATATTCTGGGGAAGATGCCAAGAAACGCGGGGGATGTAAGACCTCGGTAGTGGTTGTCCGTGGGATTGTGGCGTTCACGGCATGAGCGACACGTTACTACCTATGAATTTAACCATATTTTCAACCATAAAAGAAATCCCATACCGTGTATCGATCCTTCCCATGAATCAGCTTCGTTTAATTTGCTTTGCTATTGATAATATGGCTTATGTTGATTCATGCAGAACAAAGCATTTACCCCATGAAATTCCAGTAAGACCTCTCCCGTCATCATTAGATCCATTGATGCATTCGTATTGGTTAGAAAGATCTAGTACTACTAAACTATTTTTCATTAGATGGCAATCCAAAAGAAGAAGAATGACGATTCAAGAAAGAATATGGGAATGAATGGAAAGATCTCTGACCTTGCTATGAAAGTTTTTTGATTGAGCTGATTCTAAAACTTATGTATGATTATGACGCTGTCAGCTAGATGAAATTTCCAACTCAAATCTAAACTACTGTTTAACGCTGTTAGCCGTATTGATACTTCCACCTCAAGAATCTATAATACAGAAAGAAACCTTAAAACACCTCAATTGCTCCTCCGTTGCTTCGGTGGAGACCATTTTTCAAAGACATAGGCTGGGTCCCAAATTCCACGCCATGATCTCCCATCCCCTCCATGTGAATAACCGTCGTGAGGATGATAAACGCTCGGGGGCAAACTTACAGACACGGCTGGGTCCTTGGCAAGCGCAATACAACTAAACCTCATATCGCTACCGCCAGCCTTTCGATCCAAATCAATAACTCCTCCAATGCTCTGCCTTATTGCATTCTCACTCAAAAGATCTTCACCTTCTTCCAATTTTCCCCTACGAATTGGACCTGGTCTAGATCCCTCCAATTCCCATAAATATCCATCATTTCCCTTCACAAAAGCCACAAAATGCTGACCCAGGTGTTCCCCTTCTGCTAGACTAGGTGGTAATGTATCACCTAGTGCCGCAACAGATTGGTGAGCCTCTTCGAATGATTTGTCGTTGTACAACAAATTTGCTCGTTTTTCCGGGTGCAAAAGCATAGCTTCAACAAGAAGTCGAGATAATATGGTATCGGGAAGGATGTATTCTCTAGCCTGACCATTCAAGAGGCAATGAAGGAGGCCAATAGAACCACAGGCATTACCAATTGTTTGTTTGAACCAGAGTACAGGCTCATCAGGGCCAGCCTTCTTATAAGGTTCTCGTGCCATGTCTGTTGCATTTCGGCGCGCTTCCCAAGCAGGAGTTAGTGGGAGGATAACGAGAAGAGCGTAGACGGGACGAGGAATGCATTGAAGCAGGTTTTGATCGGTAAGTGAATAGACATCGTAGAATTTGAGGGCCGGTGAGAGACCAAGTTTTGCTGCGAGTGCATCCATAACTTCCGGGTTGTTCTCTTACTTGATTGTTAGTATGTTACGTCGATAATAAATGGAAGTCTCAGGTGGTTATCTACCAAGCACCGTGAAGGTCTTTTTGCCATTGATGACAGTTACACTTCTTGATGCCCCCCCACGTCCGCTAGATGAAGACATATCGGTGATTTGACAGTGAAGTAAGATGTATGAGTGAGTGACTAGCTTATAATTCCGTAAATCCAAAATCGATGATTTGACAGTGAAGTAAGATGTATGAATGAGTTGAATAGCTTATGGTTCCAAAAACCGATAAGATGATAATATTTGTTGTTTGGTTTGTTTGTTTGTTTGTTTGTTTGTTGATGTTTAGTTTTATTTTATAAACATCACAAACAAAGATAAAGGCAACGGCAGTGACGATTTCACGACCTCCTTCCATTTTGTCCTGTGTAACCATCATCAGTGAATTAGTCAGCTAACAGTAAGAGTGAGGGTTTCAATTAATCAACTTACAAAATCGCACTTGCTGGTATTGTATAAGTAAAACCAACACAGTTTAGTTCATAGAATTTATGTGTGTCCTATCGAACTCATTCTATTCAATCATACCGGTATATCATTTAATCGTAATCATCAATATCAGCTCTTGCCTAAGAAAAACCGGCCACCAACCCATCTTCATCAAAGATCATTATACGTCAATCATGTCCGTACCCCTAAATAAACGAAGCATAATTCTCGCCTCCAATTTACTCCACTGAATCTACCCACAAGCACTCGATCTAGATCTCTAGTCTAATCTTCATTGATCTTCATAATGCGTCAAACTCGACCTTCCCAATTCTAGCGAACCACACTCCGCAACCTTCTTCCGCTCCTCCTTTCATAAACCCCCAATCTCAACGAAGCACGATTCTCCCCTCCTCAACCCCCCCCCTCCTCCTCCTCCCCCTTTCCAATCTCCACACAACCAGCAACCCCAGCCCCATCAACCCCGCCGCCAACAAAAACCCACCCCTCTCACCCAACCACCCCCTAAAATCCCACGTCCTTAAATCCACCCACCCATCATCTCCCTCATTTCCATTTCCATTTCCATTTCCACCCCCAGCCATTCCCTTCGCAAATCCTAAACTCCAGATTCCCGTCGCTAGACAAGCTCCTATCTGTTCCAGCATGCCCATCCTCACATATAATTTCTCCATCTCCATTTCCATCTCCGACTTCTTTCCATTTATTTTCCCATCTATGTCACTCCATTCCGATTCTTCCGAGACTCTTCGAGCTGTATGTATATGACTATTACCCCCCATAGTATCCACCTCATCCGAATATAAACTCCCCTTCATCTCTCCACAAACCAACCCACTTCCATACGCCAACAACGCAATTTGTACCGGACTCCCCAGCACACTCCCTCCAATCGCCATCCAGAACACCACCCCATTCGTTGTAGGAAGTGCCAATAAGATCAAACTCGTCATATTAATCACCAAACTCCATTTCAAAATCATCACATCATAACCCTCCCCTTTCATCTCTGTCCCTTCTCTTTCCGCAATTTCTCTCTCCAGACCATTTTCCTCCTCGGCACGAATAAACAAAATTCTTAATTTCCTTCTCCTCTCTATATACCCTAGGATTCTCGGAAGAGCATAGAGTAATAAACTAGCGCCTAGTAAACAGATACTGTAAATAGTCGTCGTACTATAATATGGAAGATTCTGCGAGAGACTTGTGAATTGTGGGTAGAGGATATGAATTCTAAGGGAGAAAGTGATGAGGAAGACGAGGGATAGGAAGAGGAGAGTTTGAGATTTAGTGCGAGGTTTGAGTTGTGGTGGATCGGTAGTTGGGGCGAAGGATGATTGAAAGGAGGTGGGCGAAGATGTGGAGGATGAGTCGTTGTCTAAATCGTGGGATATGGAGTCCTCAGTGTCATCACTGTATCTTTCTCTTTCTACCCCTGTGTCAATGTCATCTCTGTATCTTTCCCTTTCCACCCCTATATCTTCCTCTCTAGTTTGCGTCTCGATAACCTCACTCAACGCCATAACTCCACCTAAAGGTAAAAACATCGTCACCCCCACAGAAATGACCCGACAACCCACGGCAAGCGCACAAATAACCCATACACCCCAATCAAACTTTAGTAAAAGTCCCGCTAGCGAAAGAGCCTTGAAACTGCTAAAGAGTTGAAGAGCCGCGAGACGGTATAATGTTGATGACCTAATTATTCATTAGTCCATTCTTCATTTGATGAAGATAAGAAGTGAAAGTTATAGAATATATGAAAAAGATATAACGAACAAATTCTCACTCCCCACTCCCTCTCCAATATAAGTATACAGCAAACTGGCCATAATCACCTGTCCTCCACCCATCAAATCAAAAACTGGAATGAGATATATCCATCTAATATCCCACGTTTCGGAATTCCAACCTATTTCATACGTTTATATATTAGCATAGGTATCTTATTCTTCTTCTTCAATATCCTCCAATCACAATCTAGACGTTCCCCCTCGCCTCTCCTCTCCTACCCAAAAATTATGATGCTCATACTCATATCAACAAAATCCACAACTAAATCAAACAAACAAACAAACAAATAAAAGAAGATCAAAAAACCCATAGGAATCTTACAAACAAACCCCCACCAGACCCCCCAACCACCCCACTAACCCCCGCCATCCCCACAATCACTTTCCTCCACTTCCCCCTCCATCTTCCCCTTCCCCCACCTATTCCCAATCCCCTCCCCTTCCCCCTCCCTTTTTCCACCTCCACCTCCACCTCCACCGCATCTCCCTACTAACCACGCAGCCCCCACCCCCACCAGCAACCCCGGAACCCCTGACCAAAACATAAATACCCCATAAATCTCCGCTACACGTTCTTGAAGTTGTATTGATTTACATATTTCTGTTTCCGTTCCTGTTTCTGTCTCTAGTAGGGAAGATGTATAAGCACTACAAACATGTGCTTCAATAAGCGGAAGATAAGTAGCAGCGAGTAAGAGAGCGGAGATTGTAGATAAAGTGAGGAGTATTGTTGCAGTTTGAGTTTGATTTGGGGATGGTTTTTGCATTTTTAATTTCATTTTCGTATTTGTATTTGTTTTTGGGTTTGTGGGGGGAGATGCTAGTAGGGAAGGAGAAGAAGGCGAAGGAGGAGGAAGAGGAGCGCGAGAGGTGAATTTTGGATAGAGGATTCGACCAAGCATGGTATATGGGATTAATCTGAATGGAATCAGTGTCGAAACCGCATCAGCATCGAAATTGTAATAAAAGATTACCAGTAGATTGAAAAAAAAACTGATCTTCGAGAAGAACTGGAACAACAGAACAAAAGAACAAGAAAACTAACAAACAAGAAACAAGCAAAAGTAAACCCAAGAATCCCCAGCTCAGCTCAGCTCAGCTCAGTTCACAGCCGAACCTCCCTCTAACCTCTAACCTCTCTCTGCCTCTACCCAAATCAGATCAGCTAAAGTATAGTACAGTACAGTACAGTACAGTACACTAACAGTGGTTATACAAACACAGACACAGACACAACGTACAACCTCAACCGTGGTACAAGTGAGTGAGTAAAACACCGACTCACCGATTCACTGACTCACCGACTCACCGACTTGCTGATTGATGAACGATGACTACACCGATTACCGATATTTCCAGAAATACTAAAATACTGAGATGCTGAGATACTACTCGGTCGTCTGAAAGAGAAAGAGCCATAATCAGATGTTGTGCATATTGTATACTCGTATACTGCATACTGCATACTATATATTGTATACTATACTGCATATACAGTAGCCCATCTCAAATCCTCAGTGTTGTTCAAATCAAATCCCCTCGCTAAATTATATCAGATGTCTCCTTCATTCCTCTCCTTAAGAATACTGTATCCCACCACCCACCAATCATTTCCACCTACCCATGCCTATGTCCATCCTCATCTAATCCCGTTCCCATCACCATCCTCAACCTCATCCCTCATCCAACCCCGCATCCCGCATCTCAAATCTCACACCTCACACCTCACACCTGGCAACACAAAACCTATGCAGCCACCCATTCCCATCTCATCCCATCTCATCCCATCCCATCCCATCCCATTTCATCCCAACCCCGAAAATTCCGATCTGATCTGGTCTGATCTGGTCTGATACACCCCTAGCCCTATCTCTATACCATATCAATAGCATCGGGATGCCATACGTACGTACATACATACCACCCACTCACCCACTCATCCACCCTTCTACCTTTCTACCTTTCTACCCACTCATCCACCCATCCACTATAACCATACCAAAGTTCATACCAAACCATAACCATACCAAACCATACCAAACCCATACCAAACCATACTTTCAAACCCAAAAGTCTAGTCTCCAAAAGAAAAAGTCTCCAAATAAAGAGAAACCTACCGGTATGTAATGAATCAAGGTAGAATACGTACCCGTTTAGTCCGCTTAGCCCACTTAGCTCAAGTGCTACGAAGAAGTGATTTTACCATCCAATCCATCCACTCCATCCAATCCACTCCACCCACTCAACCCAGTCCACTTCATCCATTTACATATATATATTTCATATATATTTCACATCCATTAACATGCATTTCACACACTCGACTCGAGTACATAGTTGATACTCATAACTCAATCCATACAATCCAATCCACCCAGTCCACTCAACCCAGTCCACTCAACCCAATACAATCCAATCCCATTACACTGTTACATAAACTTCACACACAATACACGATTGATACCCACACAGTACCCAAACACCAACCTAAACGATACAAAATTTCCATTTCCATTTCCATTTACATTTCCATTTCTAGTCTAAATTTCATCTCGAAACTTCTTCGTGGATTTTGATGTTTGTTATCATACCCGCCTCCCTCCTCCCTCCCCCCTCCC